TCTTCAATGGATCATATATATTCATCATATGTCAGGATATAATACTTGATCATATTAATAGAACTTTGTTAATTGTACATTTCACGAATATTTAAATAATTTCAAGCTTTTTTTAGAAATCATACAAATAATAATCAACAAAATAACATGGATGTGCCCAAGAACAAAGCAAGGCCTACAATGTACAGTGTACATATGTACATGTACATTTACTTTGTACACTCAAAAAGGAAAAACACAAAACTTGGCCATTGTAGTCGGGTGGCCTTTTGAACAGGTTACTTTCACTCTTATTGACCACTATAGAGAGGTGGCCACTATGACAGGTTTGACTGTACATACTTCCAAAATGATGCATTTCTCTAGTCACTTATTTATCTCCCTGAATCAAATCCCGAAAGAGATTACTGGTAGGCCCACACCTTTGATTGCACTTGCTACTAACAGGATAATATGAGTAGGATTATATTGATTGCTTTTGATCAATTTTAATCCTTTTTTTTTGTAACCAACTTTACTTCCAAGTCTCTGTCAATGGATTCTAATGTGTCTGTTGTTACTCTATTATGGGAGAAAATGCATTGTTAACGTACTGTAGGCTTCCCAAAGTACTTCCTGTATTAGAACACGCCTAAACTGTACATTGTACATTCAGTTCTGGATAAGTACTCCGACAAAGGCCTGAAAGTTTACATACACCTGGAAGAAATATATTTTACTTGCATTTTCACAACTGCACTCATTCCTACCTGTGGTCACATACAGTTGAATACGGCTGAATTATGCTTAGTTCATACCCCACATAACTTTGATGCCCCCCCCCCCATAACATAAATCTGGACAAATCAAATTCTCACACACTTATAAGAATATAAAAATTGGTAAGGGTATGAATGATTTACATGTAGGTGTTAGATGTCTGAGAGTGATAATAGGGATGTGTATACTACAGACATGTATTTACATTAAATGGAGACCAAACTTTCTGAAATGAAAAGTTGCAGGAATTAGTGATGTTGTATATTGCTTTTCTGCCAGGTATGTTAACTTTTGTGAACAACTGTACATTTACATGTAATGAACTTAAATAAACTGTAAGCCTGTATAGCATTTGTAATTTGTACAATAGAGGAAATCAGGCCTTCCACAACAATGCACTCTGCCATAATGTTGTGGTTTCCATGCATACTACATGTGTATTGTGCATGTAGGATATGAAACCTACATTTATTTGTTTTAGTTTTTATGTTTTTATTTTGTCTTATGTTGTTTTTGTTTTTGTTTCTTGGTTTCCTTCCCATCTTTTTACCAGAACAATGGACATGTACCATGCACTATTCATAAAGGCTGAATTGCATGGAGTTTACAAAGTACACTTTAAATCACAAATACAAAGTATCTTACAAAATCCAAATCTATACATACTGTACACCTGTAGTCTACTTACATGTATGATGTAGGCTTATTTGTAATTATTTTGTAGTTATTTCAGGCACAAATACATGTACATCATAATTATGTACAGGAACTTTGCAGAAAAATTGAAGAAAATGTAAAAGCCTCCTACTGTACTGTTACAAACATTTATTTTGGGTTTTCAGCAAGGCTGAAAAAAAAAAAAAATCAATTTCTTGTCGGTTCGATCATTCCAAAACCTCACCTTTAAATACAAATTTCTGAGGCCAAATAACAAAAATAATCTGTTTCTTGTTCGGACTTTTAAAAAAAAGGAGGAGGCAGGGCATTACTATTGACTATTTTGAATTTTTTTTGCTTTTTTTTCCAAGATGGCTACCATGCTAATTATAGCTGGCCAAGTCTATTTATTCACAGATATTGTGCTATGTGAGTATACTGATGCAATCTACTCAACTGAAAACATCACATTTCCTTGAATTTTTTTCTTCTTCAAATCATTACCCATAATACCAAAGTAGCTATTGATATACAGAAATATACAGATGACCAATTTTCTTTGTAATACAATACATGACCAATGAATAACCATACATCATTGGAATCCCTCCTACTGAACATTACAGCAAACATGTATCATTGACACAGCTCCTTACCCTTCTCAGTTCTCACCCTCTCTCACCCTCTCTCACCCTCTTTACTCTGCATGAGTCATCCCACATCCCGGTGCTCACTTTGTAGAAACACTCAGGCACGGAGAATGCCATGCATCTCCCATCTCCCCTCCCCCATAGCATCGATATGATGCATGTGGAGCGCATCTATGCTAATGAGCTTAAAGGATGTGCCTTTGGGAGGGATGAGGATATGATGATGAACAGATTACTCAGACTCAGAGAGCATTCCGAATGTATAATGACCGACTGTGATTGAATGTGTGATGGATAAATGTAGGTTAAATGTGTACTGCAAGTGGCAGTTCTTCTTTGTGTAGTCAGCTGAATAACTATGATTTGAAACCAGTCATACATTTTAGGGGCCTTTAGGTAATTAAAGGCATGACATTATCTCAATGTAAATACAAGCTGATGTATAGTGTATTGTAATTTTAGCTGGCAATTTTTTGTAAGCATGCAATTTCTTTTTTTTAAAAACTACATGTATCAATTAGTACAGGTACATGTACAGTACACTGTGTACACTTGAAACTGTCTCCTTCTTTTGTGTGTCCATCTCTGTCCCTTCCTTCATCCCCCCCTCTCTCTCTCTCTCTCACTCTCTCTCTCTCCCCCACCCTCCCTCCCTCTCGTTCTGTATTTTGACATTTAATGTACATTTACATGTACAGTTTTGTACATTGTACATATTTTTCAATCAGAGAAAGTACTTTTCTTCACCCTCAAGTAATTATAATATATACATACATGTACATGTATATAAGATTTATTTACAAATAGGGCATGCTCATTCTTTTGACAGAAAGCAAAAAATATTGATTTGAACATAGAGAATTTTATGGACATTAAATTTATATGGTAAACACTATATGCATCTAGTAGAAACGCTGGTACCAAATTTCAGAGCACAGTAACTATGTACACAAGTGTAATACTGAGGGCCATTCCATGGTAACTCGCGTTACACTTAATGGGTACATTGACACGATAATGTGCCTATATCTTTAGAACTGCTAGGATCTGCAAGATACTTTTTTCAAACATGGACAGGGTAGATATAGAACAACTGAATGAAACAAAAAAGAAAATTGAAGAACAAACATTTTTAGATTCTTGGATTATTGAATTTTGGTAACTCGCGTTACAAAAAAAGGACATGGTCAATTCTATGAGACCCTCTTTTGGCAAAGTCTCCTCATACTAGACAATCTTGACAAAATCTTTCCTACGTTGATAGTAGGTTGAGACTTACTAGTATAAGATCCCAATATTAAAGATAAGAAACAATGGACTAGTAAAATTCAGGAAGCAAATATGTCGGTAACTCACGTTACGGTAACTCGCGTTACATTTTGTCCGGAGGCCATTTTCACCCCTATGTAATAGATTAAATATCCCAGGACCCCTTAGAAAAGGCTTAGAATATGGAAATATATTCATCTTTTTCAATTTAGCGAAATTTTCAGGAAAAAATATTACAAGAATCCTGTGTAATCTGCAATAAATTGTTTTTTTTTCATCTACAGTCCCACATGTACGTTTTTGATGATGGTTTGAGATCTTAGGAAATCAACAAAAATGAAAAATAAATTGTATTGAATTTGAAAGGCCCTAATGTTTTATGAACATCCATGGCATAAGGTTAGTGATAAATCAAAGAATTAACATAAGAGGTACATTTCTTTTTTTGATGTCATGTCCTTCTTCTCATGGAATGGCCCCTAACAGATATTTCCTTCAACAGGATATTCTCGCATATCAATTAACGGTAATACCTGAGAGAAACAAAACAAACACTTTGCAGTTTGCATGATAGTGAACCATGAAGTAACAACACAGATATTGACATTTACATGTACATGTAGTGTACATGTACATTCAAAACACTATAAGAGTAAGTGATACTGTACAAACACCATCCATACATAAAGTATATATTTCAAGGTCAGAATTATAATAAACATGTACATTCAATACGTGTACTATGCATGCAATAGGTCACTTGTTCAGAAACTAACAAACAAATGTATGTCTCGATATGTACATTTTTTTAAACATACCTTGAAAGATACAGGGTGTATGTCCCATTTGCAGGCCCCAAAAAATGAAAAGGTTAAACTCCAATGGCATTTGAAAGATAATTACTAATTTAGAACTTCCCTCACAACAAAAGGGCTTGAAATGTCTTTTTGTAGGAAAATAACGACCGTTAGTTGTTGAAGATGATTTATTAGGGTATTTTAGATTTGCGTGGACTGCTACGCGTGACGTCCATTCAAGGCAGTGCATTAAAAGGACGTCGATCGTAGCAATCCCCATTGTCTTCGTGCAAATCTAAAAGTCCCTATTTTAACATTCGTCTTGTACATGAGGTTTCTCTTTACTCTATGTGTCAGTGTTTAAAGCAGTTCCGTCAAAAATCTATTGTGTTATGGTTCCTCGTATACATGTACATGTACATCTTCTTCCATTTTGAGTACCGGTACAGTGTTCATGTACATACCTCTTTACAGAGTATTATCATACTATACTGGGGTGTGTGCAGGTGGACCACTTCACCGGGGTTCCCCCTACTCTTATACGAATAGTGCAGTGGGTTAATTCTTAACGTGCAAAGGTAGTGACTCTTCTCTACACAGGGCCTCCATTTAAAGTCCTATCCGAGGGACCGAGTGTTTTCCACTTAACATAGCCTGCGTCTATAAACAAGGGGAGGGTCACGTTAACACACAATGCAGGCTTCAGTCATCCGCCTGGGTGGGATTTGAACCCGGGATCTTTGGTTCGACAGGCAGATGCTTTACCGACTGAGCCAATATGTGGTCTATCAGAACATTATGTGTTCACATGTCTGTTTTCTGCTCGTCATTCTGATCGTTCTCTCTTTCTCTTTTTCTCATCCATCAGATTGATAGTTGGTGCTCCTATCTACCAGACCAATATTGATGCCATTAAACCAGGCGGTGTTTTCACATGTCCGTTCACTTCCAATTATTCTGATTGCACTGTTCTGGAGCTCGATGAAAATGGTAAGTATTGATAGCCATGCTTTTGGGAATAAGGGGCATGTTCATAATAACGATGGATATTGTTTCACAAAATCGTAATAAGTACAAGTCTGCCTACATACATGTACAGTACTTCCTAAAGAAACGTGTGAATTGAAATAAACATGCATTTCAATGGGATGTTAGCGAACTAATACTTTTATGAGAGGCTTGGAAACGATAACCAGATACCCAGTTCTTCACATATTGTATCATTAAGAGAAGTAATCCAAGACAAAAGCAAAAGAGGGAATGTATAAATTATGTATACATGTACATGTTCATAGATTGTGACTGTACAAAACCATGAACATAGGGCTTTTATTTCATTTCATTTCATATCATTTATTCAACCAGTATAAAAACAATTTACAATGAAAATACAATATACAATATAATGGTTAGGACCCCTAAGAAGCAGAAATCTGCTTGTAATTGGGGCCCTGCAAACTAACAATAACAAGATAATGCACATAAATTAACAATAAAAAGTAAAGGACTTAAATAATACAAGTACGCACCCGTACAGCAACACACACACATGTCCATAAAGAAGGTTACAGAGAAAGAATAGAAGGAAGCAAGAATAGGGCAGAAAGAGATAAAAGTAGAAAAAAGACGGGACAGAGAAGTAACTTTTCAACCATGGGTTGAAAAATACTTTTTTTATGTACACATTTAATCCTTGTTCAGATATGACGTGCAATACCTGCTGGCTGATCTTACTTTCACATTCTTACTGTCCGAACCTCGCGAGTCTTCTCATTCTATTGTATCCCAAGTTGGCCACTCAGTATTCAAATTTGCATTTCTTTTCTTATTAAAAATCTTTATATATCAATTTGAAATCCAACTACCACATAAGTCTGTGAATATTGATGTGCATCCCCTCTTTCTTTTCTCTTCTTTTTTTCTGTCTTTTCCCCCTTTTACCAATATTTTGTTCCTCCATATTTGTATTATTATGTATCCTTTGAGGGTAGTCATACTATCAAGCTTTGCTTATTTTGTCAACCCTCCTGTTTGATGTTCTCGATTAGTTACACCCAGCCTTACTTTATTCTACATATATTCTTTTGTCATGTGTAAATTTGCAATATTTGTTTGTTATATATTTGTAAAAATGCAAAAGAAAAAGAAAATCAAACAGAAATAAATAAATCAAATCAAATACCACTGCAGTTTATTTATGATGACGTAAAGTGTATTACGCTTCACATCTTATAACACAATAAGCGCTGGACCTTTGTTGCTGTTCATTAAACACATTTAAAAAACATGCTGTGGCTTTTCTTGCGGCGGTTTACTGCACTAATCTGAACAAGCCTTTTTCAGACACAAAGCGAGGCAATATGTAGTATGAACATACAAGTAGCTTGTATGCAACCCATCACGTTATCTTTTGATATTACTGTTTGCACTTGAAGTGAAGCATAGAATGATAGAGGCAGACTGATTTGAAAGCATTATTATTATGACCGGTAATAAGCAGAGGCAACTGCAGGTCTTCAAAGCAATTTATCTTGCTTTGTGATATTTACGCTTGATGCAGAGATGGCAGTAAAAGACAATAGAGGAGGAATTCTATCAACTTTGTGACGTATTGAATAATACAAAACGTACAATGTATGCCGACATAAAAACTGGGAATGATATATTGCAGGTACTTAAGACAACTGTACCATAGATTTATTTTATGTATCAAATCGATTTCGGGATGGGTGGGAGTATTGAAATGAAATTTCTGCTAGCAAATGCAGAACCTGTTCTTCAGTATCTGCAAATAAAAAAAATATTGATGGCCTTAAAAAAAAAAAAAATTTAAATTTTTATTCTTTCTTTTGGAAAAATGTTGGCGTACCAGACAACAGAAAAGAAAAAAAAAGGTCTGCTGACTATTGTACCCCAGTTATAGCAAATTTTATCTCCCTCCGGATTTTTCAAATTGTCTTTTTATGACTCCATTTTATGATGTTCTTGAAATATTCTAAGTAATAGTAATCAGTTGTAAATATTCTTGAAATATTCTAAGTAATAGTAACCGATTGGAAATATTCTTGAAATGTTCTAATTAATACTTCCAATTGTACATATATTCTTGAAATATTCTAAGTAATAGTAACCAATTGGAAATATTCTTGAAATGTTCTAATTAATACTTCCAATTGTACATATATTCTTGAAATATTCTAAGTAATAGTAACCAAATGTTCATATTCTTGAAATATTCTTAAAATATTTTAAGTAGTACATACCGTTACAGTAGTAACCAATTGTACATATTCTTGAAATATCTAAGTAATAGAACCAATTGTACACATTCAGCACCATGACCGTCAGAGCCTGGTGGATACCGGTGCTACATGTATATACATGTAAATATCCATATTATTATGATTATTATTATTATTATATTCTTTGTAATATTTCAGGTAATACTGAGAGTGATATAAAAGACAACCAGTGGCTAGGTGTAGCAGTGGTCAGCCAAGGGCCTGGAGGACCAGTCGCAGTGAGTATTAAACCCATCAAAGACAATGATCCCTATATGCCTATTGGCCTTTCTTTGGGTCGAATTGGCAACAATGATGTTTTGTTGCTTTAATTTACAGATACCATGTAAAAATATTTAAAAATTACCAATCTGAAGGAAAAAAACCAATGATATTTAATATGCCAGTGTGAAATCAATTAAAAAGGGAAAAGTTTTCCATCATATCACGTTTTTGTCAAAATAGGCATTCAATCTTGTTATTCGTATGTATTTAATTGCAGTATGGCTTTCCTGGCACACAGGAAAATATGCTGACTGATTATTTGTTATGGTTCTTGACTTTAATAGCTATCAATATCTGAAATGATTTTGAAATGATTTTCAGAAAGCTGACAAAGTGACAATTTTCTCATTGAACCGTGTAAATCTGTGTCTGGTGCAAGTAGGAATTAGCGAATTTTTACAAAATCATAAATCATACTTTAAAAACATTGTCAAGAAAGTCCAATCTTACATACAATATTTCAATGATTCAAACATCTTCCAGTTCCATTGATAATAAAACATAATATTGTTATTATTATTATCCTTGTTATTGTTACATATGGATAGACCATAATGGGAGGAGCATTTCATAAGATAAGATGAAATCGTGAAAATGCGTTCATCATTATGTAAATTAGAACATGTATCACCTAATTTGTCAAGTAGTTAATATTTTGTATTGTTACTAGGCTTTTATTACTACTCTTATTTTTATTATTATTTATCACTTATTTTTATTATTATTATTGATCACTTATTATTATTGTTATTATTATTAGAACATTATTACTGTTATTAACATCATCATCATCGTCTTTGTGAATTTCAGGCATGTGCTCACAGGCATATATACCAGCCCGCCAGCGTGGATGAGATCCAGGGCCTGGGTAAGTGCTACTTCATGTCTGCCGACCTACAGAAGGATGTCTTCATCAGAGACGGATACCAGCCGTGCCTCAGCCAGACACGTCCAAACAACTATGATGGTATCCTCTACAAGTACTGCCAAGCAGGCACAGATGTGGATGTCACAAGGGTGAGTTGGCTCAGTCGGTAAAGCGTCTGCCTGTCGAACCAAAGATCTCGGGTTCAAATCCCACCCAGGCGGATGACTGAAGCCTACGTTGTGTGTTGATGTGCCCCTCCCCATGTTTCATAGACGCAGGCTACGTTAAGTGGAAAACACTCTGTCCCTCGGATAGGACGTTAAGTTGAGGCCCCATGTAGAGAAAAGTCTACCTTTGCACGTTAAGAACCCATTGCACTATTTGAATAAAGAGTAGGGGGAAACCCGGTGTAGTGGTCCACCTGCACACCCCAGTATAGTACGACAATACCCTGTAAAGAGGGATGTACTCAAATGGATGAAGAAGAGTTGGAGGGTCTCTTCTTCTTCTCAAGACACTAAGCCGCAACATTCACTCTTCTTATTAAATAATTAGATTGTCCGAATCCAGTGTTGGATGCATTGTATCGCACAGGGGGTCAATGCTTCCAGGGGGGCATTTCACAAAGATCTCTTATCTCTAAGTTGAACTCAAACAATTATGGAAAGTCATTTGCATCTTTCAAATATTTTGTATGCGTTATTTTAAAAAGCATAAAATGTTGAATCAAATCATTCATATTTTCTATTATCAAGGAGATTTTATGTTCTTGATGTGGAATTTATAAAAAAGTCTAGAAAACTTCAATTTTCGCTTTTGAATATATTTATTTTCAGGCTACAAATGGCTCTCCATAATTTTGAAGTCAACCTAAGAGATAAGTTCAACTTAGGATCTTTGTGAAACACCCCCCAGATCTTCTGGGGGGCAAGGGTCTTATAAATTTGATAAATTCATACATGAGTTATCAGTAGCATTCTGTTGTTTACATTTTTATATATTTTTTTTTTAATACATTTATTTTCTCTTTTTTTGTCCATAGCTCAAGTACACCGATAGTACCAGTGTATCCGAGTACATCATGGGTGTGCCAGGCTCTGACAACTGGCTTGGTGGTATTGCTCTTGCCAATGTGTAAGTCATTAATAGTCACTATAAAAATGGGTTCAAGAATGTAGCCAATGAGAAGCATCAAAATGCATCACGTGTGCGTGCATTAAGTTTTACCAAACGCGCACGGGAGTGCATTTTGGTGATAACAACCGTGCAAAAATAGTGCAACAAAAAGGCATAATGCACGCTGCGTGTAATTCAATGAATGTTTACGAGAAGTCGCGCCATGCACTGAACAGTTGGTTTACGAGGCCACTGCTGCCGCGACCGTCTTTGTACACACCTTATTTGTTTTAAAGGTCGCAGGTTTACAGTGTTATCGCCTTGCTATTTAAGTAAATACAGGTATCATGGCTAAAGTCATTGCCAGGTGTAGCTCTTTTCGTGTTGGAGTATCATTGAGTAAGATTGTCGTCCCATTTTATAAAACAAATAATACACAGGTTTTTGTTCGTGACGTTATGGCGATGCAGCGCTATTCTGTTATTCACAATGGCACAAAATGCACTTGGCTACGCCTCATTAAGTTTATTGCACCATAGTGAATACCCTCCTGCGCTGCATCGACCATAACGCACTCACACCTATTTATTTTTTGTATATTAAAAGTCATTATTATAGTATTAATGACTGCTTTGAGAGAAATAGTTGTTTTATTACGCTCAAGGGAAGGTTAGAATTGTGCTATTCCCCGAGGCTTGCCGAGGGGAATAGCCCAATTGTAACCTTCCCGAGAGCGTATGAAAACAACTATTTCTCGAATATTAAAGCAGTCATTAATACTTTTATATGCCGAAAAAAATAGACTAAAAAATAAAAAATAAAAAATAATTTACATTTTTGTCGAAGACGGGATTCGAACTCTTGCGTACAACAAGAGGTGTATCGAAAACCAACGCTTAGACCACTCGGCTATCGCGCGCCGTTAACATGCTTGGCAGTTTTCTCCAATATATACATTAAAATGGATTGAAAACGGCTCCGCGTGAGGGATGCTTCGCAAAAGCTCCATGAAACGGACCCTTCTTTTACTTTTGCAATGCATATTGGCACGAACTTAGATCAAGATCTATCGGCAGATGTTGTTTTTTTGTTTTTGAGAGTTAATTTTCGTCTTCATGTCAACAATGCAAGATAAAATTGTCGGTAAGATCGATCGAGATTCAATTGTATTGAAATTGCCGACCAATTTTTCGCACACGTATGGTATCCTCCATCGCTCAAACCATTTTTTAACATGTAAACCTATGGGGTAACCATGGAGACTGACCTATTTTTTTAATAACCATGGTTATTAAAAATATTGAAATGTTTTAAGCATGGTTACCGGGAATTTTACAGGAACAGTTGAAGTTTATGAATGCAATTCGACCAATCAGATGGCTGGATTTCTTAAGTGAGGTATATAATATTTTTTATGCAAAGTATTGTCACGCCATCAAGCTTCAATTTTGTGGCGATCCATCTTTATGATTATTTTATGTTACAGTCAAACCTGTCTTAGTGGCCATCTCTCTATAAAGGTCACCCACCTGTCTATAGTGGCCATGCATTTTGTCTCCCTCAAGATAGAAATGTGTGTTGTAGAACCTGTCTAGAAAGGCCACCTCTCTACAGTGGCCACTTTTTCTGTTTCCCTTGGGTGACCTTAATAGACAGGCTTAACTATATTACTTTACTTGAGTATACATCAATCATATTGTATGTTTATTATGTTGTTATCAGTTTGTGAAGTAAATCTGGAAAAGTCCACAAAGATGAGAAAAGATTCCTTTGGTACATGTTTCAATGAGAAACCATTTTTCAAGGAAACGTAAAATATGGTTTTTATAGACCGGTGGTCTTTCTATACAGACGGTTGCTAAAGCATGTCTTACTATATCTTTAGTAACATTCATTTATTAGTCTTTATCATTTATTTTTGATTTCCTCTTTTTCCTTCCAGACCTGACTCTATCAGGTCCATAAATCTCATCACACCACTTGATTTTGAGAACAACAAAGTCGGCTTCAACAGTTATCTTGGTAAGCATGAAATAAACATCTTTCTCATTAACTGGAAATGTAATTAGTTAGAAAGAGAAGGGGGGGGGGGAGGGGGAGAGAATGATAGAAACCTATCTCTTTCAAGTCTATAAATTTCGTCACGCCACTTGATTATGAGAACAACAGAGTTGGCTTCAACAGTTATCTTGGTAAGCATGAAATATACTTCTTTCTCATTAACTTGAAATGTAATTAGTTAGAAAGAGAAAGGAGGGAGAAGGGGGGAAGGGGGGGGGGGGGGGGAGAGGATGAGAGAGACTTACCGGGTAACTCTTTCAGGTCTATAAATCTTATCCCACCACTTGATTATGAGAACAACAAAGTCTTCCAACAGTTATATCTATTTAAACTTGAAATGTACTTTATTCTCATTAACTGGAAATGTAATTAGTTAGAAAGAGAAGGGGGGGGGGGGGGGGAAGGGGAAGAGGAAGAGAAAGAGAAAGAGAAAGAGAAAGAGAAAGAGAAAGAGAGGTGGGGGTAGGGGTCAGGTCAGGAGGGAGAGAGAGTGTGAATGGTAGGGAGGGGGAAGTAGAGAGAGAGAGAGAGAAAGAAGAGGAAAAGGGGGGGGGGGGGGGGGAGAGACAGAGATAGGGAGAAACAAAAACAGACAGCGAGGGGTGAGCATAGAGAAAGATCTAAATTGCCATTGTGTCTGCTTGTCGATATACATGTCTGGTCTAAATGCGGACTCTCTTTTCAATATTCCTATCAAAATTCCTTCTTCCCTCCAGGTTTCTCTGTTGCCTCCGCAAAACTCATGGATGGTAACGTTCAGACGTACATCGCTGGAGCGCCGAGGTCCGAGTCAATGGGGGCAGTGCTCACCCTCAAGTCCGAAGCAGGTCAGAGTCCTAGCCCTATATACCGCATTGATGCAGAGAAGCCTTCGTCATCGTTCGGATATGATGTAGCCGCGGCTGATGTGAACGGAGATGGGTAAGTGACTTGACTTGTGCTTGTAACTTTATGAAGACTGGGCCAAATTTTTTATCATTTTGATGATTCCAGAACCTTGCAGTACATCTATGCTAGATGATCAACCTTTTCTGATCGATTTCAAAACGTTTCTTTCACAATGCAATCGCATAACCATAACTGGTCTTTATTTTTAAACTGCTAATTAATTTAAAAGGCAACTGAAGAAAAAAAATGATTATTCATTTGCAAAAATCATACTGAAATATCAGAAACTTTCGCAAATTGTTTAGACTGCCGTTTTCACAGCAAGAAACATTTCCGAACTGCAAAGAATTTGTGTCATGTCAGTTGTGATACAATGATTTCTCAGCATGAAAATCTCTCTTGAAAATCTGTGAACTTCTTGTGCAAGTGAAATTTTCTGTTTTTTACAGGACATTACCCTATACTGTTTCATTTTCCATTTAAAGCTTGTTCAATTTTTTTTTTAAAGCTTAAAAATTTCTGCCTCATGATATTGTGCTTTCTTTCAATATTAGATCATATTCAGAGCATATATAGTACATGTATGCGGTGGGCTTTAGACATGTAATACAGCTAACTGTAGATGTAATTCCAGGATACCTTTTTATTTTTCAGCTATGATGATCTCATAGTAGGGGCACCTCAGTATTTTCGTCGCGACCCAACTAACTATCAAGGTGGAGAAGGAGGACGAGTCTATATTTACCTCAACGAGGCCCATGATGTAAGTTTTTTTTTCTTTTTCTTTTTTGCATGAGGAAATTGTATTTGAACTATGCCCAACTATTCTATCATTTATGTGGAGCAAGAAAGGCATTATGTATGTATGATATGATATCTGGGGGGTTGTTTCACAAAGACTAAGATCGACTTGAGTTGGACTTGAACTATGGCAGGGCATTCATGCCACTGGTTGCTCTCACTATTGGTCTCTCAAGGGACTTCACAAATCTACAAAATTTACATCTTTGATAAAATAGTTACTTACATTGTAAATTTTACGGTACATGTATAGACCAGTTTTGGAAACGCCCCCCCTCTCAAAAATGAAATGGAAGCTCTTATTACTAATCATGTGAAAGAATATGTTTTGACTAATACGTGATGATACAAATTTTGCCGAGAAACGGCCTACTAATTGATATATTTGGTAAATTATCATATCGATCCGGTCTGGATAGATATTGCGAATGCACTTCAACATTTGGGCGTATATTCTGCTTTTTTGCGAACTAAGTTGGAAGTATTGCCATCTAAACCTCTGAAGGCAATATGTTAACAATATTGAATGGATATTTTGCACCCAAAAACCTTGAACCGCATTTTTACCACTTCTGGTCTTATACCTTTGAGTAAAATTTAAGACTTCGACTTATATTACGGTATGTGATTTATTTCTTAGAAACACAAAACTTTCTTTTATTTAATTATATATATATATATATATATATATATATATTTTTTTTTTTCTTTCTGTTGAAACAAACCCAATATCAGAGTGGACTTGCCATTTAATTTGTGATTAATTGATTCATCTTGACTCTTTTGAACAGGGCACATTTGAGAACGTTGAACCTATCAAGCTGACAGGAAAGATTGATTCTCTCTTCGGACAAGTCGTCACAAATATTGGAGACATTAATCTTGATGGATTTGAAGGTGAGATATGAAAAGATGAGTTGACTTCAGGGCCCCATCTCACAAAACTTGTCATCTGTGACAAATGACAGTGTTTGGTATAAACTACTGAAATCCTTGCGTATGATTGGTCATCAGCAGATTTGTCACTGATTTGTCATTGAAAAGAGGCTTTGTGAAACGGGTCCCTGGTCATGTGCTTGCAATGTGAAGAAATAATTGAGAAAGGTACATAATGTATTTTTTCTGTTAGATTGTAAAACCATCAAAATGATAAGAAAGTGACCAAACAATGCAGAAAGTCACTGCACACATGAATGGGTATATGGGACGCATACACATGTGGCCTGACAGTTTATCCAAATCTTTCAGCAATGTCTCATCGTATTTTGATTATGAGGGCAATTAGAAGAACAGTCGTTTTCAGGGGACATTTCTAGTTTGAAAATCGTCCTCTAATTATACTTCCCAACTGTCGTGAACTGGATCAAGTTGTGTTATCAAAAGTCAAAGTTGATTTCTAAGATCCCAGCGGCTGGCACCATGATGAGTTTGAGGGTCTTAGTAATATTAGATAACTCAGTGAGGATAATAGAGAGTCGGCAGACTGGTTTGTTATGGTAGACATGTTATTTATTCAACTCCGACGGATACCGGATATTCGGATATCGCATATTCGTAACAATTTCTGGTATGTTAACCTTCCACTCCCTGTCAACGTGCATTACCTCCTTCATCGTTTAAAGGGATCCGGTAACTTTGTCTCAGATTCTGAAACAAAATCCTGGATTTAGCTCATGCTGCAATAATAATTATAAACCTTTAGGTCAGTCAGGAACCCCATGACTATTACAAACCAATCGTCTGTCTGATTATCAAGATATTTATGATTGGAAATTGAAACCAAATTTTGCGTTTGCCTAACGGTTTTCATAACACTACAGTCTATTGGGGAAAACGAGTATGGTAAAACTGGTCACCCATTTTTTTTTCTTTTTTGAGGCACTTCTTGATCATTTTGAAGCGCAATTTTTTTAGGGCTTCAATATTACACCATATTACATACACTGATAACACGTAGGGCCGTGCATCTCAGATTTAACATTGTTAAACGATGCCTTTAACAGACATTGCCATTGGTGCACCGTACGAGAACAATGGCGAGGGCGCTGTGTACATATACCTCGGTCACGGCCAGGATGGGATCAGGCAACCGGCTGCTCAGAAGATCACCCCCTCTGATCTGCCCAACGGGATCAACGGATACCCCTTCCCCAACACCTCCTTCGGATACTCCATCTCTGGTGGGGTTGATCTAGATGGGAACGGCTTCCCGGAGGTGGCCATTGGTGCCTATGAGGTGCAACAGATTGCTGTGCTCAGGTGAGGGTTGATAATTATAATAAATATATATTATAAGAAGTCCTGGGCCCCGTCTTACAAAGAGTTACGATTGATCCAAATCAATCGTAAGTCCTCCAATCAATCGCAAGTTTGCAGTCTCCAATCTCTTATGTACATAGTTACGATTGATATCAATCGCAAATAAGTTATGATTGATATCAACTCTTTGTAAGACGGGGCCCTGAACAGAGCAAACAAAGAGAGAGAGAGAACTGAACGCAGTGCAGAAGAGAAAACTAGTGTATTTTTGTCATGTGATGAGAGGTGGAGGATTGCAGAAGATCTTGATGGAAGGAATGGTAGAGGGTAAACGAGAAAAGGGTAGACAGTGAATCACTTGGTTTGATGATGTCAAGAAATGAACTGGTCTTAACTATGTAGAGAGGTTAGAACAAGGGTACGTGACAGAAAGCGATGGAGGTACATAGATGCCAACCCCTTCTGCAGGGACGGCACTAGACGATGATATTATAATAATAATATTGGATATTTTCATTATTCTCATATCCACCATGCAAGGTGCCTAAGATGCTCCAATGTCATTACCCCAACTCTAGTTAGGCTACTGAATTCGGTGCTCACACCACACAAAGAATTACTTCCTTCCGGTACCCATTTAACGGCTCAGTTGAGACTGGCAAATGTAGATTACTGTATTGCCAAAGGCCACTTGTGACCTCCTGCAACAATTGCTCCATGTCAATTTTCTACACATACCAAGTTCTTGACTTCAATCCTGGACCCAACCCTGACTCCAATTCCGGACCCAACCCTGACTCCAATCCTGGACCCAACCCTGACTCCAATCCTGGGCCCAACCCTGACTCCAATCCTGGACCCAACCCTGACTCCAATCCTGGACCCAACCCTGACTCCAATCCTGGACCCAACCCTGACTCCAATCCTGGACCCAACCCTGACTCCAATCCTGGACCCAACCCTGACTCCAATCCCGGACCCAACCCTGACTCCAATCCTAGACCCAACTCTGACTCCAGTCCTGGATCCAACCCTGACTCCAATCCTGGACCCAACCCTGACTCCAATCCTGGACCCAACCCTGACTCCAATCCTTACCATAAATGTAACCTACAACCAATTGTAACCCTAACCTAAACCTTGACGTAATGAAGCTCCAACCACTTGTCTCAGATGTAAATGTATGACACTCGATCTACGACGAAGAACTATCACCTTGACCACAACACAGCCTTCTCTCTAACCCTTGGCTGAAATTTCTTCTCAAAATTTAACAATCATTGATTTTATTTCTCTGTTCTCATTTGTTCCTCCAGAGGGCGTCCCGTGATCAACATTGAAGCCCAGCTCACCCTCAGCGTCACTGAGCTGGACCCTAATACCACCAATTGCGAATACTCAGGCAAGGATTCCTTGTGGTAAGTGACTGTCTTTACACCAAACGTTTGTTTGTTTCTTTTTTTTCTGCTCTTGAAACTTGTCCATTTTATTGCAAAATGTCACTAAAACCTTTTCTCACTTGTTTTGCCGTTTGCTACATGTGAACAGTGTACACTGAAAGATTTTAAGTTAAACCTGTTTAGACAAATCTTTATAGATCAAATTTGTATTTCCCTTTAAATTGTGTTTTTTATTGAAACATGTGATAAAACAATTTTTTGTGGCTTTGCTGGGAGACACAAGGATATCTTTCTATACAGGTTTCAATGTTTTGACATTTTGTCATGAAATAGTCCAAAAGGTGATGAAAAGTTAAGGGTAATACAAAGTTTTGGGATTTTTAAAAAATTGGTTGGATAGTGATTTTTACAATTTTTATATATTTGGACGCCCCTGCGGATGTATTATAAGCACTAGAAAAGTTAGCCCCTAAAACACTTCAGCTTTCGAGAAAAATTGAATATACAAATTTACCGGTGCTCCCGGTAAATGTTGATAAATTTTAAATAGCGCCTACAGTTGTACACTGGTAGCTGCGACCATGAAACTCTCAGAATGTATAGTTGGGATATATAACTTTCAAACAAGAATAACTAATTGGTCAATTTTATGAATATGTAGTTGTGATATATATTTTCCAAACGGGAACAACTAATCGGTAGATTTCAGTCAAGAAACATTGTTTTATAGCTTAATTAATATCTTGACCTTGAGAGGGAGGTATACAACATAAAGTGTTTATTTACAATTTCATAACTTGAGACTCGATTTCAACCACGACAACCATCACTGAGTATTGTAGGATCGCATATGCTTCCAATATGTTCATTTGAACCAAATTCATGACCCCTTACCAATAAATAAAGAGATGATACAGCCTTCAGATTCAATTTGTAAAATTTATTCTACACAATTTAGAAAACCTGGTAGTGGCATTAACTTTCCATCCTATAGACAGAGAACTGTCTGTTAAAAAATTAGTTCTAACGATACAGGATTTTTTGTCATTGGTACCCAGATGTTACGAAGACATTAACTTAATGTACAAATCTTTTGACATCAGAATGCACATAAGTTTCCTGACTATTTTATATTATTTTATGATTGATTAGACGTACAATCGATTGTAGAATTCTAATGTAACAAGGCACAGAGATGAAGCTAATAGTAATTTCTATTTCTTTCCATATAGCTTTACAGTACAGCTGTGCATGTCCTACTATTGCCTCGCACCAGCATTCAACGATCCAATTAGTAAGTATTATAAGATGATGAATCCTAATCAAGTGATTGGTTGAGAGTGTTCAAGTGACCAGGCATTTATTTTGCCTAACACGTAGTTTTACTAATGACCGGTCATTAGTAAAACCATGTTTAATATAAAACATCATTTTATAAAAAAAATAAAACATCATCTTATAACAAAAATAATACACATCATTTTGTTCAGGCAATAGTAAAATTACACACACTCGGTACCTTCAAAACAGTCCAAACACCCTCGGAGATCGCCTCGATAATGTAGTACTGGATATCTTGATAGCACTATTAACCACAATGCAAGGTGCTCCAAGCGCTCAAACATTGTTTCGTGCAGTAATCAACCTTGACAAAAAAAGAAAAATTATAAGCACAGAGATAATGTCTTTCTGACTATTGTACAATCTTGCAGCCATCAACTTTGACATTGAGGCAGAAGGAGTCCGACGCAGCAAGGTTCTAAACTCTCGGGTGGTGTTTGAGGAAAGTGGAATCTACTCCTTGACTAAGCAGACGCTCGTTATTACAAATGATGATGAAGCCTGTACTCCAGAGTACAATGTTATACTGAAGGTGAGAAAATTACTTGACCAAACTGTTGTACAACACCTGCAACAATTAGGCATGAGAATTTCCTGCGTTTCCGTGGTTTCCCGCTTTTTTTTCAAGAACTAAGAAATTGAAATTTTCTGGAGTTTTCTGTATAGAGCAAATTGTAGAGGAGCTCACAAGAAACATCACAGTGTTGCAAATTAGTGTTTGATTGATCGCACCTTCACAAATTCATAACTTTCTTAAGTTAAATCGGTTTTTGCCAAAACTGTCACTGGCCCGTTTCTCTCATTTTTCTGGTTCTATTAAAATCAACTTAATATCAGGGTGGACCTCTCCTTTAAACCTAATCGTAACCTTGTTCCTAACATAAAACCCAAGTTAATTAAGCATAAATGATGAAATTTGAATTTGCAAATGTGATGGTAGGATTTTAATTATTCATACAAAATCATGATAATTTCAATGTTTTCAACCCAATTGTGGTTTTACTATATGTTGATGCATCTCTTTGTAAATTGATCAGTTTCAGCTCCAATAAACCAATTCAATTCAATTCAATTCTACATTTTTATCTCCTGCAGGCTGGCTACACAGATATTATGGAGTTTCAGCTCTCGAGCTTAATGTTAGATGTATTTTTACGATAAACTAATTTCATTAAATTCATTTCAAATTTCTTGCAGGCTGGCTTCACCGACATCTTCCGTCCCATCCCCATCAATCTGACGTACTACATTCCTGAGGTAGAAGCCGTCATGCCTCAGCCCGGTGACCCCCTTCCCAGTATGACTCCCTTCCCCATTCTCCAGGAGAACACCCAAACGATCATGTTAGAAGAGGTAAGTTCAGTTGCCCCCATCACTACTATACCATTATTAGCTCTTTTCCCACTATTACGCATTTCCTCTTTTTAGCTGCTTTCCAGTGTGACATCTTTAACCCCATTCCACTTCTTCCCCATTTTGACTCATTTCCTCATTTTTGAAGGTTTCCCTCATTTTGACTCCTTTCCCCATTATTACTCCTTTCCCCATTATTACTCCTTTCCCCATTGTGACTCCTTTCTCCATTATTACTCCTTTCCCCATTGTGACTCCTTTCTCCATTTTGACTCCTTTCCTCATTTTGACTCATATCCTCATTTTGACTCCTTTCCCCATTTTGATTCCTTTCCCCAGTTTGACTCTTTTCCCCAGTTTGACTCCTTTCCCCATTATTACTCCTTTCCCCATTGTGACTCCTTTCTCCATTTTGACTCCTTTCTCCATTTTGACTCCTTTCCTCATTTTGACTCATATCCTCATTTTGACTCCTTTCCCCGTTTTGATTCCTTTCCCCAGTTTGACTCCTTTCCCCAGTTTGACTCCTTTCCCCAGTTTGACTCCTTTCCCCAGTTTGACTCCTTTCCCTAGTTTGACTCCTATCCTCATTTTGACTCCTTTCCTTATTTTGACTCCTATCCTCATTTTTACTCCTTTCCTCATTTTGACTCCTTACCCCATTATGACTCTTTTCCACATTGCTTACTCTATTTGTCATTATGACTCGTTTTCTAATGAAATTTTCCCCTATTATGACCCCTTCCCCATATCAATTCCTTTTTTAATTGTGGCAACTTTACCCATTATCACCGTTTCCCTTTATGACTCCTTTCTCCATTTTGACTATTTTCCTCATTTTGACTATTTTCCTCATTTTGACTTCTTTCCCCATTTTGACTCTCCTTCCCATTACAACATTTTTCCCATTGTGACAATTTTCTCCCCATTATGATTCCTTTTTCCATTATGACTCCTCCCCATTATAACCCATTTCCCTGTTTTCACTCCATTTCACATTATGACACCTCCTATAATAATAATAATAGTGGGTTCTTGTTTAGAGGTCATGTCTGTCTGAATTGTTATATATTTGTAAAACTGCGAAAGAAAGAGAAAATCAAACAGAAATAAATCAATCAAATCAAATCAAATCAATTGAAAATCCCGGCGCTCCACAATTATTACCCTGGCTGTAGCATGGCTGCCATTATGGCACTCTAGCATTTCAGGTAATGATTATTAATGATTATTTCCCCTCTTCAACTCTGTTGCCTATTGTAACTCCTTCTTGACTCCAGGTCATCTTCAGCAAAGAATGCGCCAAGGATGATGGCCTTTGCATCACTGATCTAGATGTCCGTGCTTCAGTAGATCTTGAAGGGTGAGTCATTGAATTCTGTCTGTCTAGTCATTTTTACAAAGAAGTTTAAGTCCTGCTATACTTGAAACATAATATGTGAGCTCTTGTGACAATTGAGAGAGAGAGAGAGAGAGAGAGAGAGAGAGAGAGAGAGCAAGTAAGCCTGGGATATAAGCATCGTTTTTTACCTAATTATACACTTATGACCTTTAAAGGTATTACAAAGTTTTGGTATGGGGTCATGAATTCGGTTCAAATTAACCTATTGGAAGCATATGCGTTCCTACAATATACATTGATCGTTGTCGCGGTTGAAATCGAGTATAAAGTTATGAAATTATAAATAATAAACTCTTTATGTTGTATAGCTCTCTCTCAAGGTCAAGATATTATTTAGCTATGAAACAATGTTTCTTCACTAAAATCGACCGATTAGCTATTCCCATTTGGAAATTATATATCCAAACTACATATTCTGAGATGTTCATGGTCGCAGCTAACATTATACGGCCATAGGCGCTATTTCAAAGTTATCATAATTTACCGGGAGCACCGGTAAATTTTGATATTCAATTTTTCTCGAAAACAGAAGTGTTTTAGGGGCTAATTTTTTTAGTGCTTATAATACATCCACAGGGGCATCCAAATATATCAAAATTGCAAAGATTCACTATCCACCCAATTTTCAAAATTTCAAAACTTTGTATTACCTTTAACCTTTATACTCTATTACTCGGTTAGCTGCAAAAAGTCTCAAGGAGTGTCCACATTACTAATTAATGATAGATAGATAGAGATCTTGTGTGTGATAATGATTTATTGACCTATGACCTTTCAGTTTAACCTTCATACTCTCAACTTTTAACCTTCTCCCAGTACCCCACCTGTGCTGAAGGTCAATGACCCACTGAAAGTCTCAAGTGTAAATGTTGCCAAGAAATGATCAGCCCGTGTTTAGTAATGATTTACTAACCTATGACTTTTAAACTTCATACTTTGACCTTTAACCCATCCCCCAGTACCCAACCTGTTCTGAAGGTTGGTAAGCAGCAAGAAGTCTGAATGAGTGTGAAAATTGCTAATAAATCATAGATAGAGAGACTGTGTGTGAAAATGACCTATTAACTTATGAACTTTAAAATTCTTTGATCCTTCCCCAGTACCCCACCTATTCTGAAGGTCGGTGAGCAGCAGGAAATCTCAATGAGTGCGCACATTGCCAACAGGGAAGAGGATGCTTATAATGCCAAGCTGGTCGTCACCTATCCTGCCTACTTGGGATTTATTTCCCTCTCATCGGCTTCACAGGTACAGATATACAATTACGGTAATCCTATATATAAAAACCATTTAATACAGTCCAACCTGTATGTAAAGACTATTGAAAGCAGTCAAACCTGTTTGCATATCAAGAAAACTCCCCTTGTCTCCCAAAGAGTCTTCGGGTGAGGGTAAAGTGAGCTAGTGACTTTACCATATGGGGGAATGCAAAGCATTGCATAAGGCCTTTCGGTCATAAGACCGAAGACAAATCCTGGTGATTGACAACACCTGTTACTGGGTAAACACCCAAAAGGTGTCGAATTCCCAATAAGAGCCCACTCCTATGCTTCTTTAAAGCCCATCTGTACTTTTTTACAGGAGGGATTAGACCACCCTGCAAGGACACTGACAGGTGGTTATCTCATCAAATAAGCTCTCAATTGACAGAAGAAAAAGAGGATCATGGGGGACCAATGGTCACGTATTAGGCATTGTTTGCTATATAGAGCGTGCAAGTAGCTATAGTAGTGCAGTGGGGCTTTAATGAATATAATGCTCCTTTTCTTCCAGGCATTCACTGCTGACTGCAACCCAGAGCCATTCGAAGAAGGAGCCAACGAGACCAGTATCATTTGTGAGCTTGGCAACCCATATTCAGAGGGCTCAGTGGTAAGTATCAGAGACAGGGATGGAGGGATGAATAGATGGAAGGATAAACGGATGGAGGGATAGAGAAATGATGATTGGAGCGATAGAAGGATTATAGAAATCTGCCAACCCTCGCCCATTTGGTTTTGCAGAATGAGCTAGGTGGAGATACAAGAAATAGAGGGATGAAGAAATGATGATAGAGTGATGGAAGAAGAATTGACGGAAAGATTAATGTCTGTTTATCATGCTTAATTATAATGGAAAAAAATTACAGGAAAATTAAAAAATAACTCAAAAAAACGACTATTAAACTTAATAACTCAACCTTCTCTTTGATAAACAAGTGTATACATGTTCTCATTATACAGGATTCATTCGTCGTGCTTTATGATGCATCGTCAGTGCCTCCAGATGCTGAGGTATTCAACATCACCCTCGTTGCTTCCTCGTAAGTTACAACTGAAATCTGCTATAATAATGATACAAAAGGTGCTTATAAAGCGCCTACCACCGAAGTCTCTAAGCGCTATAGCAATGACCAATAGAAAGACCGCCTGGCAATAAAGATTGTTCTTTATTAAGACCACATTTGTTACTTCCCTTGAAACACAGAATAGGAAACATGTTTAGCATACTGCCTTTTTGAAAAAAAAGGAAGGAGGAAAAAAAATATCTTCAAAATGGCTGTTAACATGAGTGCAGTACACATGCAACTAGTGCCCTCATCAGCAAATGTATGTGTACTGCTATTCTGATTTGCTTTATGGCTTTGTACTTCATAGGTAAGCAAAGTAACAGGTATTTTGTTGATATTTTTTTTGGGACCCCTCACTGTTATGTGCTCGCCTAGGAAATCATTGTGTTGTGTAGACAGTTTCGACATCACAACAAATTATTTATCAACTGGAGCTACGAACAAAAAGTAGAAAAAAATCTATTACCCTACCCATCAAACAAAATGTTGGTGAAAAATGAATTTGTAAATAATAATTATTTTAGTATACTAAGTAGTATTATAGTAATAATTAGTCATAATTATTTAGTACAAGTATTATTTTTATCAGTGACCACCACTTTGTACAGTACTATTTATTCATCTCAATTTATCTGTCTTTGTGTTTTATGAAGGACCAACGATGCTGATTCTAACCCAGGCAATAACCAATACATCATCACCATTGAGGTCGAGAGTATCACTGACATCCTCATCAGCGGGTAAGTCAGAGGTCAAAGGGCAATTTTTGTTGGGTTTTGTCTTTATACAGGTCCCTTTCAGATTGTCTTATTAAAGTTTCCTTCAATTCTATTATTGATTGTTGTTAAGTTTGGTGAATGTATCGCGTGTTAAAAAATAAAATTGTTTCAAAATACAACGCTGTAGACCTTGTAGGTATCTGTCTTAGGATTGTTTTTACGAGGATATTTTATGAGTACTTAAAAAATGAGTTGGGTTGAATACATGTAAGATATGGTAATGTTTTGTTTATAAGAATGAAGACAATTATAGTTTTGAGGACGTGGATCTGATTTATTAAGGGCTGTAGGAAGCTGTAAAGGGTATCAACAAACAAAAATATATTTTGCTCTGTTTGTTCAGTGTTGCTATACAAGTCCTGAATATATAAATGAGCATACATTAAACTATGTATTAACAATTCTATTAGAAGAATAGAGTAAGTCTTTTTAGGGCAGATCGTAATTCACTTTTTGGAACTTCTAGGTTTTAATCCCTTATGAATTGTACTTGTAAGCTTTCAATGTTGCGTTGTATGTCTGATTTTGTGTACTTTGAGGCCCATGTTGTAGTATTGCAATTTAATTCCCTTTTTGTGTGTGTTTATATTATCATTTTTATACAGTAAGGGACCAGAGCAACTTTACTTCAGTGGTCAGGTGATTGGAGAAAGTGCGATGAACTATTTTGAAGACATTGGATTGGCCGTTAATCAGAGATGGACTGTAAGCAATCTATTAACATTTCTATATAAGAATTATGACAAAACCAATGCTTTTGCTTCAGCAGGAGGGGCCAAATATTTCCAAACTTTTAATCTTGATGACGATTAGTCAAGTAATGGGAGCACAAAATCGGCACATGCATGTAAACTTGGAAGGTCAAGTATTACCATGAAGCAGAGATTTGATTTGATCTCTTTGAGTGCTGGAGATGATATTCTTGATAGCGTGATTGTTATTGGTAAACTTAGATTTAGTTGTAATGTAAGGTTGATTGTTATGACACAATGTAGTTCTCTCAGGCCTGATAAAAACCCGATTTAAATTGGTTTCCCGATTTTTTTTATTTTTCCCAATTTTTTCCGGATTTTTTTTTTTTTTTTTTTTTTTCCTTCCCTATTTGATCCTGATTTTCTCTATTCTTCCATATTTTGTGCTATTTTTACATATTTTGCCCTATTTTTCTCCAATTTTCTTACTCGTAAGGGGGGAATGTTGTTAGATGCCATTTTTTCCCCGCGAATCCTCTTTTTTTTTTTTTTTTACTCAAGGGGGGCGTGGTTGAGGGGAAAACAAGAAACCTATTTTTTTTTTAGTGCTCACTATCACCCCTGTCTCTGTTCAGATATTCAACAAAGGGCCCAGAGCAGTCATTTGATCTGAAATTTGGCATCTGGAGTCTTTAACAAAAAAAGGGATTTGGTATCTTTGTCTCAGATTCTGAAACAAAATCCAGGATTTAGCTCATGCTGCAATGATAATAATGAACCTTTAGGTCAGCAAGGAACCCCATAACATTTAAAAGCCGGTCGCCTGTCTGATTATCAGGATATTTATGATTGGAAATTTCAAAAGCCATTTTTATAACACTACAGTATACTGAGGAAAATGAATATAGTAAAACTGGTCACTCAAAGATTTTTAATTTTTTGAGGCACTTCATGATTATTTTGAAGCGCATTTTTTTTAGAGCTTTGATATTAGACCATATCACAGACACTGATAACACGTAGGGCCATGCATCTCGGATTTCACATTGTTAAACGATGCCTTTAATGGCTATTATAGTTGGAATGAATGTCATCCATGACACTATGTTTGTCTCTTTTTAGATATTCAACGAAGGGCCCGGAGCAGTCAACACAGCCAGAGTGACGATTGACTTCCCTTATGAGGTAGCTAATGGTAAATGGTTGCTCTACATGACAGAGATGCCTTTCGTTGAAGATAACAAGGGTTCTTGCAACGTCACCCCAGCAGTCTATGTCAACGAGCTAGGACTAAAGGTAAGGTCCGAGGAGCAAACTTGCTCCAGGCCGTTTAAAGAGAAAGACCAAGATGGTGTCAGCACCATGCACGATTAGGGCATTAACGTTATATGTCTGCTGCACATTTGCAATAAGCTGAATTCAAAATTGACAAGAACATTTGTCATGTCAATTTCATGTGCTTATTTTCTTTGGTATATCATTTTTGTTGACTCTTTATTATAATAACATTATTTTCATCAGCAGTAATGATTTTACAATAATAATAATAATAATATTCCGCTTTTATATAGTGCCCAATACATCGATACAATTATGTGTCTAAGCGCTTTACAGATACATTATTACCTCGGTCATCGGATTTGGGCTTACCTGCACACAATGTATGCACATTCTCCACTCCATGGGGAGCATTCCGGCCAGTCGCCATTTTACAAGCGCACTCTTCCTCATTCAACACATTAACCTTAGCATCCTACCGGGTACTCATTTAACACCTGGGTGGAGAGTGGCAAATGTAGATTAAAGTCTTGCTATAGGACATTAGTGCAAAGACAGATTTAGAGACTGATCACACAACCGTCTCTTCAATTTCAGCATTCTTCTATTAATCTATGAATGCATTTATCAGAGAGATAGTATTGGCCATTGTAACAGTCCTCTTGAAGGCATCCGATTTGATATATTACACTATGCATACAATCGTAAACGTTTGATATAATGCTTTGTTTGCATCCTTGCTAATTACTTCTCGGCAGCCCAAGAACGGAGGGGGTGCCTACAACCCAGTAGCCCCAGGTACAGGGGGGACAACGCAGTCAAGGAAGAGAAGGGAGGCAGAAGCAGAGGCAGTCACTTCAACCAGAGAGCTGACAGCAGGAAAGGACATCACACTTGTAAGTAGATGAAAGGGAAAGTCCATTCTGAGTTGGTCTGATTTTTATGTCATATTGAGTTTGTTTTAATAAAGCATAAAAATGAGAGAAACAAATGAACGAAAGTTTGAACTATATCCAATTAAAAATAGGAAAGTTATGAATCTTCTAGTTGTCATCAGTGAAACGCTAATCAGAGACACTGTGGCCTATTCTGCGAGCTCCTCTCCAATTTTCTTTTTTTTAAATTGTTTTTTTGCTCAAACTTCCACTGATCTGTTTCTCTCATTTTTCTGCGTCTATTAAAACCAACTTACTATCAGGGTGGGCTTCCCTTGAACCATTTTACTGCTGTGGACTATCGGGTGTGGGTTGTAATTGGGTCTTTTATCAAGATTAGGGTTAGGTTAAAGTTATGTTTAGTGTTTGGTCCAGGGTTGGATTAAGGAATTATTCGAGTGAAGATGATGTTACGAACCAATGGTAGGGTCAGGGAAATGTGTAGCGTTTGGTCGAGGGTTTAAGTTAAGAATACAGCTAGTAAAGGATGATTACCACAGAACGATTGTCGCCCAAGCATTCTCAAAGGCATTGTTTAAACTACCTTAAATTTGTCCATTGCCTTTAGTAATATTGGACAATGGAAAGGTTGTTTTTCTTCATAAGAATTCATAATGGGTTCAATAATTGCGAAGTTAGATATCATGGAACAATATCGGAACAGTGGGATAAACATTAACTTTTTCACTGCCATCCACTGTTTAAATCACTCAAATTTATATTGTATCTACATGACATTCAAAATGGGTTCTTGAATTGTGAAATTAGATATAGTAGAATAATATCTCTACCAATTTAAACGTGACATGCTATGCTGGCAAGCTTGTCTTGTGAGTGTGGTGCAAGCTGACCCTAAAAATACTTTCTTACAATGATCCTTCATGTGATCCTCAAATCCTGTCTGTACACTCTGTACAGTGATTTTTTCACACAACATTCCGTTGAACGAGTTACTGTCTATAGATTTCTTCTCATGTATAAATGCCATGTGTGTCTTGTTTAGGACTGTAAGGCCGAAAACAAGTACTGAACATAATAGAGTTCCTCTGCGTACAGTGATTTTTCACATATCATTCTGTTGAACAAGTTACTGTATACAGATTTCTTCTCATGTATGAATGCCCCGTTTGTCTTGTTTTAGGACTGTAAGACCGGGACCGCACAGTGCTTGACCATCATTTGTGATCTTGACCCTTTGACCAAAGAAACAGACATGAACGAGGTCAACATCGTTGTCAGGTCAAGACTCTGGAACAGTACTTTCCTTGAGGTAAGAACATTGATTCAAATGATTTTATTTCTCATGCAAAATATAATATAATGAATAAGCATATTACACACAAAAATATGCAATGAAACGACAAATGCAGACATGCCAACCGTTCCGATTTTAACGGAACTGTTCCGTTTTTGAAGTTTTTATAGCCCTAAAAAACGGAACGTTCCGATTTTGGGGAATTTGGCTTTCCATACATAGCATTGATCTGATCGAGTGCTGAACGGATTGCATTGCGCAAGGTGCATGCAGCGTGCACCGATATGTACGTACAGTGGCAGCGTGTTGCTGCGCGCCACGTGCACTCTGATATGTGTTTCCGTACGTAACATTTCCGTATGTAAATACTTGCGCTGGCAAATCTCGTAAGTATAATTTCTATACGTTTGCATGCGCATATCAGCATGCATGCATTCGCTATCGCGGCTAGCGCACCGTATATGCATAGGGTCCCCATGCAAAGTACGTGTTTCGAGGTACCGTATACTTTGTGATTTGTGATTTGTCTCGGAAGAAAATCTGTCAAAATGAGCGGAACAGCAGCAAGACGAATTCAGAAGTACAAACAGGAATACAAGGAACGATTTCCCTTTATTAGAGCAAGCACAAAAGGGGAGGAATATGCATACAGCATTTATTGTCGGCAAGATCTAAAGATCAGTGGTGGAGGAGCCAACGACATTATGAGGCACCTATCCAATAAAAAGCATAAAGACAATGAGCAAGCCGAAGTGAATGCGTCCAAGACATCGAAGAAATTGACATCATTCTTCGGCAAGAAGGAAGACACTTCTGTTATCAATGCAGAGGTTTGTTTTACCGATTTTTTAGTAGAGCATAGTATTGCCTTAAATGCTTAAATAAATTAAAATGTGGAATTCACTTCAATCACTTTTTTGTTTGGTATGACACAAAAATTACCCATAAACTTGGGTTGAATTTTAGGAGAAATGGTCCCTAAAATAGGCTCAGATTGCACCAGAGAGCATCTGGAAACCCAGAGCTTCCAGGGCCCTAAAGCGGGCCCTGGACCCCGGCTAAAAGGACTTCGCGCTTCGCGCTCGTGATGTGCGCTTCGTGCACATAGTGTACAGATTTCGACTTTTCAAATGTTGGCATGTATGCAAATGTAATAGAAATAGCACAAGAAAAGAGGAACTAACTAGAAGCAGAGCGTGTTGAAGTGTTAGTTCCTCAGATCTGTTTTACAATATAGTATGGCAAGTATACTTAAAAAAATCAATAAATAAAACAAATATATGAATTTAACCCCATCCTGTCATGGGTTTGTGTGGGGTGTACCAAGAAGAAGGTCATGCAAGTTAACCCTTTCAGGACAGGATTTAGTTTTAGGGCTTAGTCAATCACATATTGTTCTTCAAATTGGCAACAATAATATATTTCTTTTATCGCTACAATGATTGAACAAAATGCAATGTCTCTGAAAACAAAGAACATGGGGAAGAATGTTGTTGAAAAGGTTTTAAATGGCCAGATTTTATCCAAAAAATATGAATTTTATTTTCTCAATGTTTTGCCAATTTAAGGATTTTAAAATAAGTTTTCCTTTTTGAAATTCCCAACATCTAACCTGGTATTTATTTAGGACTGTGAATAACAGGTTTTGAGCTAAACCACAGAATGTAGAACAATTGTTGCGAAAGGGTTAAAAAGATGTGGCCATCTAATGTTTAAACTGGAACTTTCACCAATTATTATTCATGACCATTTTAAATATGTTGGCAGTTTAGAAAATTTACATGTTTATTCAATAATTTTTTTTCATGAACCTTTCACAAATCTGTCCCCTCAGATGATGATGTGTTTCAAATACATATATAGGTCTGATGATATGAGCGGTTCTAAAATGCCAATATTATTATTAGTTCCATGAGTTTTATTTATCTGTCATTTATTAGGCAATGTTAAACACACAATGAATATGAAGGAATTAGAAAGTGCTAATGTTAGCAATTAGCAATAGATATTGCTCTTTGCGACTAATGTCCATGGGCAAGACAATCTCCTTTTGTTCCTCTCTGCCTAGGCATAGTACATGTAATGGGTATTTGGTGCGGAGATATTCCTTGAGGACCTTATCATGGTGTATTGAACGCTATATAAAAAAACAGATTATTATCATTATTATTAGTAAGAACTTGTTAAAGGAAGTGTAGCCTGGCAACTGCTGGTTAACGCCATCTACGTCTTCTTTTGGACAACTGCACATAAACGAAAAGACTTCATTAACGGTAGTCAGCGGCTTAATCTCGAGATGGCCAGCGTGCCTGCACGTGATTGTTCCAGTCGCATTGTCTGTAGTCATATTATACCCGATTGGCCCCGAGTCAGGCCATGGGAAAGACACGTAGTCTCGTCATGCCATACTCCCTTTAAGATACTGATGGGGCTAGCCATGATGTATGAGACCATGTTATTATCATCATTATTTTGTTACAGTCAAAACACTTTTTTTCTTCTTATGTCACCATTGTGTTGCCAGGATTACATCAATGCCAGAAATGCATTGAGCACCTTATCATGCTGTAATGATTACTGAGCTGTTTTGATACAAATTGTGCAAGCCAGGATGTATAAGACCATGTTATTATCATCATTATTTTTGTTACAGTCAAAACCCTTTCTTTTCTTCTTGTGTCGCCATTGTATTTCTAGGACTACATCAATGCCAGGAATGCCTTGAGCACCTTATCCTGGTGGAATCATTACAGGGCTCTCACGATGCACTTCTTTAATACCGATGGAGCTAACCATAAGACCATGTTATTAATTATCTTCATTATTCATGTTAATACAGTCTAAACCCTTTTTATCCTTCTGATGTCACCATTGTGTTTCTAGGATTACATCAATGCCAGGAAGGTGAAGATCATTACCGAGGGCTACGTGGAGATAGAGAGCGCCCCCTATATCACCCAGACCAGGGAGGACAACGATAAATTCAGGGTGAGTGATTCACATTGTTCAAGAGGAGTGTAAATGGATTGTTATACTGTATATGTATATCTTCTGGTAGTCAGCTTGTTAAAACGTGAGTCTTCTAGGAAAAGAAATATCCTCATTTCTTATGGACTCGTACACAAATTTGAGTATGGAATATGGAATATTGTTCTTTTAACTTTTATATTGAATATTTGTTGTTGTTGTAAAAAGTATTTTATGTTTACAACCATTGTAATTTGGACAGTTATAATTTGCCACAATTATTAGGTTAACTTTTTTCTGTCCCTGGCGTACCAGTGGTTCTTTTAATCCTTATCTACCAAAATTGCTCGTCTGTTTTATTTTCTTTATGACCAGATTAAAAAAAAAAAAATTCATACCCTTATATTATTTTAATGGAAGGATCAGTATTGGCGATTTCTCCCTTTACTAGAGTTGAGATGTTCTAGCCTTGTGGTTTTACCACTTTATTTGAGATGCAAATGTCATGGATTTAGGGAACTTCTCTGCTTTGACAAGAGTATAATCTCCTTTTTTACACTCTTTTCCCATGTGTAGTAAGCAGGAACGAGGGTACTGTTGTATAAAATTTACAATTGATGGTAACTTTGCCATTAATGGTAATTTTCATGGAAATATTGATTTGCAGTTGAGTGATGCTGCCATAATAATAATGATAATCTTCTAAAGTCCACTCCAAATTTTATTAAGTTAAACCGAAAATGGAAATTCTTTTTGCCCAATTGATCGTGAGCCCGGCAGCCACGGAGCAGCGCCAGATCGACGTTGCTCTATCCCTTATTGTTGAACCAAACATGGTAGTTAATATTGATGGTAAAGTTATAATCAAATAGTAAGTTTGTGCGATGCGGCCCTGGTTTTCAGAGCTAAAATGGAGGTAAGAATTCTCTAGTCATCTGGGCCCCTTTACGTAAAACTTACCATTGATGGTAACTGTGCCATCAATGGCAACTACCATGGTAACAGGGCTCAACAGCCAATCAAAATCAAGGATTCAATGGTAGTTACCATTTTTTGCAAAGTTACCAACAATTTAATTTTTGTGCAACAGAGCTGGAAGCATGTAAAGACGTTACACGTGTATCACATTATGATATGCACTATACAAAAACAGAATACCATCAATATCATTATCATTATTACCTTTTCCTTATGATCAGCTCTCGCTAACGATCACCCCAGACATCAAGACTCTACCGCCCTCTAAGCCCCTCCAGTGGTGGATCATCGCCCTCGCCGTCATTGGAGGCATCATCCTTCTCATCCTCCTCATCCTCCTCCTATGGAAGGTAAGGCTATCATCATTAATTGAAACAGTTAGGGTGTTAAGGTTTACTGAGATTCACGAACATGGATATGCATATGTGGGACACAAGAGGGACAAAAGGGAAAACAGGGATACACATGGTTACGCTTATGGATTGATATGGTTATACAGATGTTGGATCTTGTAAGGACAAAGATATGAAACAATAAATTAGGATTTCTAGATTCACTCATAAGTACCAACATGGATATACATACATGGGGGCACAGTAGATGCAAATGTACATATGCATTTTGGGAACAGTTATAAATAGGCATGTATTAATGTAGATGAGGATGTGAATATATACAGTGTAGGATACAGGAGGGACCAAGATTTGAAACATTTAGGGAATTCTAGATACAATGAGAAGTCCAGACATGAATATGCATATGTAGGACACCATGGAAGGTAAGGTTTTCATCATCCATTGAAACAATAGGCCATTATTGTATTGTAACCAAATTGAATGCATACTTCTCTGTGAAGTGCCTGGATACGAATGATTCCATTCAACTGTTACAAATACATGTATTTCAATAGTCAGAATGCGAATTGCATATATATTACATGTTGTTAGATAAGGCTAGCCATAATGTTTGTCCTACATACAGCAGCACATCTAAAGTATGCAATTCACATTCTGACTATTGAAATACATTTACTTGTAACAGGTAAATAGAATCATTTGTATTGAGGCACCTCACATACATGTAGACGTACATGTATGTAATATTTTTAGTTACATTATGAAAATGGCTTATTGGGATTTTAGGATATACTGAGTTTCACAAACATTGATATACATATTCATACTTTGATTGGGGGTTTTAACGCATAGCAATCAAGCATCGGTGCTAGTGTTTTATTTCATATCATATCATTATGTTACATTGATTCAATCCACATGTGAGATGCAGACTGCATTTAATGTCCCATTAGATCACATGTATTGTTTCAATCAGATATTTTTTCTCTCCAATTTTACCATTGTTTAATCATATTGCAGTTCTCACATAGTTCATTACATCTAATGATGTCACCTTATTATCAAAATTAGTTTAGCTTACATTATATACACATATATATCTACTTCTCATCAAATAATCATTATTAATAATAATAATAATATTCCGCATTTATAATAGCGTTTAATACATCGACAATTTCCCTAATCGCTTTAACAGATATATATAACTTGCAACCATTAAGATATATCTTTTAATAATTTTAGTCTTCATTTAATAATTACATAATTGGAAACATTGCATTGTTAGCAAATTATGGAGTAATTGGACCTCTTAATTCTTTGCAATTCAATAGTGTCATCTTTGGATAACATACATGTATTTTGTCAATTGACTTTGATTTAATCAATATTTTTCAAAGTTGACTTCAACTCGATTCAATACAGTTCCTTTCACTTCAATTTCAATCGTACAATGTTTTTGAAGTCATTGAAGATCGAAACACAAATTGCTTAGAAACCAATGAAAATGTTTGCCTTTACAATGATTCCAATTATGAAAATGTCTATTTAATATCCACTTCAATTTTCTATTTCATTGTTCTTCCTCTGTTAACATTATGATTATATTAATAAATTTTAACAGATTTTGGGTTATTCTAAAGGTTGTATTACACATGCAAGACCTGTAAAGTTTAATGAACATTACTATTATTTTAACAGCAACTTTATTTGCATGACCTAAATTGTCAGAAATATATCTGGGGTAAATGGATACATCTTGGTTTGGTTAAAGCAAGAAGGGAATTTCCTCTTGTGTTGAAATAAAGGAGTTAAAGCTAATCTTGAGTTCTGGTAAATATAGAAAATACATTCTCTAACAATCCAACAAAACTCACATTAAAGGTTCAAGATTACAAATAAATGACATGGGCCACACAATTTTGATAGAAAATGTATAGTGGCTGCGTAATTGACATAGAAAGATAAGGAAATCCGGGCAAGTAGGCCCGACACCATGTGCCTAACACAGGTCACTATGTGCAAATGGTTTGTAGTTTTCATCGTAGATGATGCCCCGTAGGTTTTATTGCGTATGATATTAATTCACTGGTTTAAACAACCAATGTACTGCAGGATAAACAATTTAGAATAAATCATAGCAATTTTCTCTCAAAATACGATAACCATACCAGAACTCAAGCTTATCTTTAATTCATATCCATTTTAATACAAATGAGTTAATGCCCTTCAGGCTCTCAGCAGATGTAATGTATACTGTACATACATGTAGGGACTAGATTATCAATCCTTTCCTTCTCTAACAATGCAGTATAAACACAGTCGCAAATTCAGTTCAATTCAGGCTTTTTATAATACATTGGAATATGGAAAAGGGTATGCATATCTTGCAATGAACCAGAATACAAATTGAACATGTTGTAGAAACATACAAAGATATAGGATGGTTAGATTTCAGATTGGTGAGAAAAAAAGACTCTGAAAATTGTACATGTACTTGAGGAAGTACATGTACTGTACATGTAACCTTTTATGAACAGTTGGACAAGAAATTTACATGTTTATGTTAGCGGTTGGAAAATAAAACTCATTTCCGTCCCATGATACTATTGTCAGTTGATAACCTGAACGGCATCAACTCTTGATGAATGGATAAGATTTAACTCCTTTCTGGCTCTCGGCACAGGGTATAAAAAACAACATCTGCGACTGTGTTTATGTGTAAAAGTACCAAACTTTGATAGCATATCCACAATAATAGGTTGAAACAATTGAAGTCATGTGCACTTATTATGACATTAGTATGAATTACTTTTAAAGTTGATCCTACAGGGAGGGCAAAAAAAAAGGGAAATCATTACAGGTATATACATGTAACACTTAACTTTACCATTGTATGCACTGTTGGAAATCACCATGTACAATTTCCATAGAACGTTGGTAGCGGAACAGAAAAAGTTATGACATTAAATTTTGTTCCTTTGCAAACATAAACTTTGTGCAGAAAACAAAATATTGATGATTATAATATTTGGCTATTGTAATTAAACAAATACAAGAAAACAAAAATGGTGATTGTGTTTAATATACAGATTGGGGTTAAAGTTACAGCATGCGCTATGTTATATGCCATTTATTGTGGATATGCCCAAATTATTGCATACTTTTTAAAAACATACCTGTATATTATGATTTGGTATATATTTCCTTGTTGGTCATCTAACTCCATATATCTTCATGGCATGGTGCATTTGTCATTATCGCACCATCTTTTTACTCATCTAGTGCGGATTTTTCGCGCGGCCGGGAACGAGCGGAGGTGGACCAGTGCGTAACGAACAGTTTAACTCCTTTAACGCATCTTGTTTCTATATTAACATTTAATCTTTGGTGTGGTGACTATCTGTGCCTGTGTCTATGCGTGACTTATAACCGTGAGACTGTCGCAATCGTTTTTTCTGATATTGAATGTTATACCGTTTCAAACTTGAGGGATATATGTAATGTCTACTTGTGCGTTGGTGGTAGAATTATATCAAATGATGTTAAGTGTGTATATTTCTCTTCCAAAAACCTTTCCCTTCTTTATATCTTTTCTTCAGCCTCTCCCTCTCTCTCTCTCTTTGTCTCTCCTGTTTACTCTTTGCCAATCATTATCTGTACACCGGTATACATCTTTACCTAAGCTCCTTTTCCCCCTTCCTTCTTGCTCCTTAAAAAAAAAATTATTCTTCTATTTCCTTTTCCTGAAGTCCTGTCTTCATGATTTTTCAGTTTCTTTCTTCATACATGTATCTGTATTTTGATATATAAGTTGTACTTCTTCTTTTTGTCGTGAAATGAACACATTTTGATGTGCAATTGTAAAAAAATGTATATATCTTTGCACAGACACATGTCTCGTTGTTTGTGCCTGAACATTTTAAAACTACACCAACACATACATTGTGTCTTTACACATTTTTTATTCCTCTCAGGACAGGATTGATTTTCTTAAAAGTTGAATTGATCACATATTATTCTTCAAATTGGCAACAATGATAGGTTTCTTTTTGTGTTAAAATGAAATGTCTCTGAAAACAATATACATGGGCGAGAATGTTGTGATAGTTGAAAAAATGAGAAATTTTGATTGAAGAACAATGATTTCAAATCTTGCAATGTGTTGCCAATTTAAGAATTTTAAAGCACATTTTCATCTTTTACCTTTTACGTTATCTTCAATCTACACAACACATCGTACACTTTGTGCTTTCACACACTTTGAAAGTACATAGACACGTGCACCATTTGTGATTTTACACATCTTCCAAATTACACAAACACATTACTATTTTGCCGACAGTTCCATTATCCTCAAAGTCTGATTTACGCACAGGAATTTTGGAATAAGTACGTAATACATTCCCTCAATGAAAGGGATGTCTTGTGTAGTTTCACGTACCACATTGTAAAAATGTAAACTTGTTAGTCCCTCGTATACAGTTCTGTGTGGACAACTTGATTTTCTTAATGTAAGGAATTTAAATGTTGTTTACACCAGGTTTAATATGCTCAATGGGAATTTTGTTTGCAGTGACAATTAAATGAGAGATAATCAGGTACTAGGAAAATGCCTGATTAAAATTGAATATTGTTAACATTTTAACAATTGATAGGCTGAGGTGAAAAACAAAGTGCATTTTCATAAAGCTGGAAAACAAAAATTTTTGCTTCTGTTTTTCTGCGTACATCATTATTTATTAATTTGGATCCTTGTTTTGATCTCATATTGTCTTTTCCTGTACAATATGCTGTATATCATATTACTGCTTGCTCTCTCTATATATATATTTATATATCTCTCTCTTTCTATCTCTCTCTCTCTTTTTCTCTCGCTCTTCCCCATTCTCTCTCTCTCTCTTTCTCTCTCTCTCTTTCTCTCTATCTCTTTCTCTCTCTCTCTCTCTTTCTCTCTCTCTCTCTCTCTCTTTCTCTCTCTCTCTCTCTTTCTCTCTCTCTCTCTTTCTCTCTCTCCTTCTCTATGTATCTTACTCTGTCAGTTTGTCTCCCATTCCATTTCTCTCTCTGTTCTTCAATTTTGTATTACCGATATTTAAAAAATTAATTTATGAAAACTTCTTTCATCAATTGCAAGCATGTAAGGAATGGCTTGTTGGGCTTGATTTCTGCGTCCCTTTAGGGCAAATTATCTCTTTTGGATTAAAATAAAAATACCTTGATATTAAAGCCTTTCTGAACTACTTTGGCCAAGGGATTAGACCTCCCTGCAAGGTCACTGACAGGTGATGTTCTAATCAAATCAGCTCTCAACATAAGAAAAAGGGGATCATGGGGGACCAAACAGGCACCGATTAGGCATTGTTTGCTATATAGAGGGCCCAAGTTGCTATAAGTAATGCAGTGGGGCTTTAAGGTTTGTCTGGTTTGTGGACTGCATCTAGGCCTAGCAGAGCCCTCATATTAGGTGGTTCCTGTCAACGTAATCTCCAGTAATATACATAGATCATCCAAGTTATACAGTTCTTCAAGAAAGATGCATTTAAATCCATTCACCACATGAAAATTGAAAGAAAGATACATTTTATTGTCATTAATGTTCTTTTCCAGATAATAGAAACATGAATAATATAGAGATATCTTCAGCCTTTTATCATTACCACATAACAATTGATACTATAATATCATACTATAATTGTTACTATCTAGTCCTTTCCTCTTAAAGGAATCAGGTAGCTTTGTCTCAGATTCTGAAACAAAATCCTGGATTTAGCTCATGCTGCAATGATAATTATAAAACCTTTAGGTCAGTCAGGAACCCCATGACTTTTACAAGCCGATTGCCTGTCTGATTATCAGGATATTTATGATTGGAAATCAAAATCAAATTTTGCGTTTTCCTAAAGGTTTTCATAACACTACAGTCTATTGGGAAAAACTTGTATGGTAAAAACGATCACTCAAAGATTTTTACTTTTTTGAGGCACTTCTTGATCATTTTTAAGCACAATTTTTTTTAGGGCTTCAATATTACACCATATCACAGACACTGATAACACGTAGGGCCGTGCATCTCAGATTAAACATTGTTAAACGAAGCCTTTAATGCAAGGCCTGACCATAAAACTGAGGTGCCCAGGGCACATCGGCAACCAATTTCTAAGTCCGCACCCCTAATATTCATAACAATTATTCCCTTATCATTTCATTAATTGCCTTTGTCTTTCTTAATATTTGGTCAATTAGAGGTACACTGCTATTTGATATTGGATGGTAATTTCTTTATAGAACGAATTTCAATTGATTATTGTATTTTTTACCAAGAATAGTAATATAGGCATTATCAGTCACCGAGTAAAATATTTCAGGAATAACCGGACGTACGTAAGCTATTGTGGAAGACTTGAAAGAGGCTACTCTACAGTTTAATGTTCTACCAGAAATAAATGATGGTGGGAATCCCCATTGTCACGATGTTAGGAATATAGTGTTATGTTTTATCATTGAAGAAAGACTTTATACCTGAAAGTCTGAATCTTTATGAAATTCATGTAATCTTATAGCTGATAGGATATGGCTTTTAGCTTTGCTTGAATTCCTAAAGTGGTTTACATCCGTTGCTTTTTCATTGAGCTTTTTCTCAACTTTTGGTTTCTACTTCTATTTTTTGGTGAAACTTGTATCATTACTTCTATTTGGTTGATACAATACTTCCTTATTTCTTTCTTTAAACTGGTCTGCATGCTTCAGCAAAAAGTTTGGTCTTATGATTTGATTTCAACAATTTTGGTGTATTTTCTTGAAATGTGTTATTAATACATTTTCTTGTACGATATGGTTTCCTAGATGTAGAATATTTTGATTTGATTTTGCATTTAAATGGAGGTGATAGTTTTGAAATACTTGTAACTTTGATATATATCTTTTGCCTGGAGTATTTCTTGGAAGATTTATTTTGCATTAAAATATAGTTTAAGTCCATAACATTTTTTTGAGGATAAGGACCTTTTAGATCATAATTCTAATAATATAAAAGTAACAGGTCTAGGCTACATCTAAATCCAAAGATAATTCAGAAAAGGGGTATAAGATTGGTTCCTTCCAAATTACACAAATGTTTGCTATTTCTACATTACATTTCTTATCGGAACGATGTATGTATTGCAGTTTGATAAAGTGACAACACTTGCTTAACCAACTCAAGAACACTTATATATTGTTTGGCTTTGGTGATGGGTTTAATATATAGGATATGGTAAGTCTTATTACGTGCATCTTTGGTATGGTATTATTTTAATCATGCATCGCAGTTAAATATACTGAATTGCACAAGGATATACATTGCATTTTAAAAACAAGTGTACAATTATAAACTAATGGTAGCTCGTCAATTTGCATGGGGAATTTCATTTTTTTTCCTCGCTCCTAGGTTGGGTTTTTAACCTCTTGGACATACGTCATGAAAAATCACTAGATTTGGGGCTAATACTCTTTCTCTTTGTGATCTATCCTTACAGTGCGGATTCTTTGAACGCAAGACAGGATACAAGTATGCCACAGTGACACAGCAGCAAGCCTCTGGCAAGGCAAAGACAGAGAAGACCGCTTACTACGATGACATGTATTACTAAAGCTCAAGCAACAGTACGTTCAATGTACAGTACTCTAGGGAACAGATAATATGTAATAGCATTTGCAATTTACATTTGTAGATTTCACCACAATGTCGTTTCTTGCATAGCCTTATGTTGAATAGGTGCTAAAATATGAATGAGAGAAGGTGACATGTACAGGTCAATGTTTCCTTTATGAATGTGAAAAATCTGGGTTTCAGGTTTTATTGTAGGTGAGATTTTGCAGTCTAATCCCTTTCAATTTTCTGCTTTCTCAGCCTTCATCTGGCTAAAGATCTTTGCTAATAGACTGTTGATTGAGATGTAGATATAGGTTTGCAAAAATGTACAATCGCATTAGATATTAAATAGATATGAAATATAACTACAGCAAAAGAAGTATATTGAAGGGATTAAAAAGTATGGATGTTGACAATAGAATTGGGTTTGCCCCAAGTATTTAGCATCACCTTGTCATGGAGTCTCATGATGATGAATAAATGAGTCTAAAGCAAAACGAGTAGTCAGTATGCGCAAACAAAATATGTAGGATGGCTCTTTAAGGGTTGTTTCAGACATTTGCAATCCATGAAAGGGGCTACAAAAGAAAAAGAGAAAGAAAATAGTCTGATTTTTTCACATACTTGCTAGAACATTGTAACACGAAATCATGAGATAAGCATTTTGTTAAAAAAAGATACCTGTATTTGAAGTGAAGCACAAATTGCCTTGCTCGACTTAAGATGTGTCAAAATATATAATGCACAATGATCGCTGAGCAATAAAGCCACAGCCAAAACATGTTAGGCAAGGATTTTCAATTATTATTCACAAAATGCATTACAGTTGTGGACGATATAATCGTCCCACATGTATTCGAGATCATGCTCCTAATAATGGACTCGAGGAACTGATGTTACATCATCTTCGTTTTCTTTAAATTTTCAAGGGTCTTGACAAAAGTTAGGGGCCCTGTTTCATCAAAATTGATACCAATAACAAGTCACAGTAACTGTTATAAGCTACTGAAATCATGGCATTTGATTGGCTAAGAGCAAATTTGTCATAGATATTCAGCATTTGTTATTGATAACAAGTTTTATGAAATGGGGTCCTGGTGTTAGATTCTCACATCTAGAGTGTGCACGTCTAGTTAATCTTTGATTGGTGCAGTGTGCAAATGGTTGAGACTACCTTTAAATTGCGATTCAAGGATAAATTATAACAACCGTTCGCTCTACGTCAATCAGGTTTTTGTGAGCTGTCTTTTCTTGGAAGAATTTGATAATCTTATTTATTCATTTTAACTATTACGTCATTTTCCTTTTTTTTTTTTTTATATAGTATGATTTATAACAAATCTTTTAACTCTGAATTTTTTGAAAATCAATTTATTCTCTAAGAAAATTGAAAAATTGAATAAATTGAATCATTTTATAGAAATTGTAAATATTAGATAATCTATTGATTGTTTTTTTGAAAGCATGAATATTGCTGTTTTGAATCCCTTATTTTATTTTTTATTTACCCTTGACAACTCTATATAGTCCTTCTGCAAAAATCGTGAAGCATTGTACATGTAAATATTAATAGAAAAACAATTTGTGTATCAGTAACTTTGTTACTTTTTGTCAGTGCATATGCTTTCCCATTTTTACTTTTTTTCTTCTTCTTTTAGAGGTAAGTTGAAGTAATTAGTAAAGGTTTCACAAAAGTTTCATACTGTGAATTTCTGCAATGCGCAAAAGTTTCATGCTTCAAGTATTTCTGGTTTTACCTTAATTGTTAAACCTGTACAAATATGTTTAAAGTTGGTGCTATTTCGTATGGATGAGAAAACAAAAATTCTGCTTTTGCATTTGTTATCATTATTACTAGCTGTTGATGTGCTCTCTTTCGTGAAGTGTAGGACAGTTTTTACAAAGGATAAGATTTTTTTTGTTGATGTTCTTTATTTAGGGCACTTTCTTTTTGTACCATACATACAGAGCGCAAAAATGTTAAGTGTTTAAGTGATACAATTTGTTGATGGTGGTGGTACACAAATAATTATTTCTTGGAATTGGAACATGATTATTTGATCTATACTCTTTGATGAGATATAGCACTATAGCAATATTAGTTCAAACACAGAACTATTCTAGCTTGCCTTGTATATGTTAACCTTTTTTAATTCTCTTCCTCTTGTAGATTTCTTTTTTACAATTCTTTGAATGTTTTGTTAACAGATTGCTATTTTGCATGGTTTTGATATTTTATCCCTCTCTGAGTAATCACAATTTATTTTCATCCAAGAATTGGACTGGAGTGTTTTACATTATTTTTTAATTTTCAAATCGAAATTTCATATTGTAATTGTTATAAATCCCTTTAAACTAGTATCCCTGTCATATATGTACGTGCCCAGGAACAATGTAATTTCACAACAGAAACCAAAACATTGTTTTTTAGATATATATATTTATACATGTATATCCTATGTCCAACAGTTTTCTAAGGACGTTGTTCATTTTGTGGTTTCTTATTACTCTTTTTTTCTTCATGTATTTATGAACTTTGAACAAGTGTCCAACTGTATATTGTATTGTGTAATCGAAATGAGACAAATATTGTGAAAAGCAAAGATATCTGTAGCCACCTTATACTGACCGATTATAAAAATATTTTAGATACAGTCAAACCTGTGATAATGGCCACGTCTATATAAAGACGACCTGTCTATAGTGGTCAGCTATATTGTCTCCCTCAAGGAAGAAATGTATAGAATCTGTCTAGGGAGGCCACCTGTCTATAGTGGCTACTTCTGCTTCCACTGCATGGCCTTAGTAGACAGGTTTGACTGTATTTAATGTGAGAAAAGTATGTAATCTGTTAGAACTAGTCTGAAATTCTTCACATGTGCTTTAAGTCTAAATAGTACTCTTTTTTTCAATCAACTATACCTAAGTTGAAAAAAAGATCTGTTTTCTTAATTACACAAGTTTTGTAAATGATCGTTATAAATGCATTGTACTGTACTACCATATACTCTAATTTATTTGTAAGGCTTTTTATATTGTTTGCATGACTATCTTGTGCTAATCCTACCCACTGTACATGTGTAGTATAGCTTAGCTAAAAATATCTGTAGAACATTCTTTTTATAAAAAAATGTACACTTGCACAGGTGGAATTAATTGTTTAAAATCAATATCTATTGGAGGGGTCTTATATTTCATTTCATACCTCACTTTCTTTTATTGCAAAGCAAAAGAACATGGTAAAGTAGATTTGATTGATTTTTTTTTTTAATGAGCCAAAAGGGCATTAACTCAAATACTTTTATACTGAGATAACACCCTTCTGGTTCTGAACTCTCCTTTTTGGAAATTAATTACTAGAAGTAATTTTCTTCTTTTTCAGTTTGATTTTTGTACTTTGCTTGTGTGAGATGCTAATGAAAAGCATCATCTCTGCATTGATGCTTTGAAAAGCTTTAAAAGTTACAAACAAGAAGATTTACTCCTACCAAACATCAACATAATGAGATTTGTACAGTGGGTTGGATTAGAATCCTGGCTTTGCATGGAGCGTACTTTTGACCATTCATAATTCACATGGTCATAACTACCTTTCATGTATCAGGCAAAGTTCTGTATTAATGTGTGTATAATAGCTGAATATGTTTACTTTTGTCGTTGTAGATAATGTCATTTACTATTTCAAACTTATTTTCATAACTAATTTGAAATCTGCAGTACTGCTAACAATCATTCACGATTCGTTAAATCACTTCGCTTTAGGTTTGTGTGAATTCATGCAAAGTACTTTACAATTGCTATACCATGAAATTTTTCATAACTAATGAAAAACTGCAGTACTGTCTACAATGATTTACGATTAGTTTAATCACTGTGCAGAGGTGTTTTGTGTGAATATATGCAAAGTACTAGATGTACACAGCTGTTATAATCATGAGAAATAATGAAAAACAAGTTAAAATCTATGCATAATCATTCTACATGAAATCAATCAGTTTAATCATAATACAATAATGGCATTCAAACTCCTTATAAATAGAGAATAATTCAAGATCATTGTTTATCTAGATAAGTTTTTGTTTTACCAGTTTAAACAGTGTTAACTTCTAGTCACAAAATAATTGTTCTTTTATATAAATCTATCCACTCTCTTAATAATGCAAAAGAGTGGAAATCCACTCTCTTAGGAGTCATACTAGAGACCACTTCATTTGGAGGCTGTGAGACCGCTCCAAATCATTGTGGAATACGGCCACTCCAAACTAGTAGTTTGAATTACTCTTTTGAGAGTGAATTGCACTATTCTGAGCATGTATTTCCACTTGAAAGTGATCCCTTACATGACTACTCGAAGTTTGGATTTTTTTATTCCTGTACATCTAGAGGCGAAATTGATCTGTTATCAGTTAAACATGTACATTGTCGTCTGCCCCGCAAGTAGGCCTTTACAGCCATTGAAAAGACTTCGCTCTTATGGCGTTTTTGCGGGCAGCTAAACAACATGTACGATCTGTGCAAGCGAGCTATTGTACATCATTATTCTATGAATAGGGCATATCCATTAGTGTTTCATAACAAGTAACATGACATTTCACTTTCACCTTTCTAGCACATGTCCTGTTTTCCGTCCCCCCTTTTAAATCAATCCGATGACAAAAGCTATTCAGAAATTGCTGACGCGCACAAAATAGAACATCCGGACATGCTTTTATGAAATATAAATTGGCATCTCATGTATTAAAGAAGAGAAATGGAATTTGAAAAGACGCCAAGAGAAGGCTCATTGAGCAGGGAAAAACCTAAGTGCTTGATCCTTTTTTTTTCGTGGAAAACATTGTTTACCTCCTTTTTAGGAAATTTCATGTATAAATAACTCTCAAGCGTTTTTTTTCTTCTTCTTCAGAGACATACAAAAGGTACATCGCTACAGTGTGCTCTAAACATGTCTATTTTATATTCTCTTCATGTCTACCAAGTAAGTTCTTCCAACTTTCATGAGTGTTTCGAGGACACCATAGATCATATCACAGACCATGTCCAATCCTAGCTAATCATTGTCAAAAATCATGTGATTCCCATGTTTTTTCTTTGTCACGTTTTTGTGAGAATTGAAACCCATCCTGTTTTGTACTTTGCAATATATAGTACTGTGTTTAAATTAAAAATTGTGAAATTGCAGTTCTAGTTTGATTTTTCATTTCATATTGATTCATTTGAGGAAGTGTCGGGAGATGGGGAAAAGAGATGAGAGAGAGAGGAGAAAGAGAGAGAGAGAGAGAGAGAGAGAGAGGGGGGGGGGGGGGGGTGGAGAGTAGGAAAGAAATAAAGAGGGGCTAATTACAATGTATAGACAGTAGTGAGAAGTGAAAGAGAGAGAGAAAGATATGAAAACAAAGTGACAGAAGAGAACTACAAGTGATTATATTTTAATAGAAGAAATCAAGAAAAGAAAATTATATAAAGAAGGAAATACAGAGAGTGTACACTTCTTGCATAACCATGTTCCAAGGAGGCCGTCTTTTGTATAGCTGTTGCTATATCCAGCCATTTCAGGTTCGTAAGATATGACTTTTAATGACAACACAGTTACATCCTGTAAAAATGCCTAAAAGCCTGGAAATTGAACTCGGCTAAGAGCTTTAAGCTTTTTTTTAGTAAAACATTTCCTTCTTTATAATTGGATTGGTGTTACATGCACTTGTCAAAATCGAATACAAATCCTATTAGTGGAGCCTAGCTCACCACAGTACATTATTTATTTAACCAATACGATAAAACTAACTACAGGTAAAGTTCATGACCTTCTCATCGCAGATGAAAGATACTTGACCCCATGGCTATTATTATGATGTAATATTGCTTACAGAATGGCATCGTATTTGCAAGATGTTCTTTCCGTCATATCCTGATATATATATATATATATATCTACATGATGGCGAAGGTGGTGGTTGTGATGATGATGATGAAAATGATTATGGTGGTGGTGGTGGTGATGATGATGATGATGAAGATGATTATGGTGGTGGTGGTGATGATGATGATGAAGATGATGATGATGAAGATGATTGTGGTGGTGGTGGTGTTGGTGATCGTGGTGATGGTGCGGATGATGGTGGTGGTAATAGTGATTATGATATTGGTGGTAGTGGTTTTTTTAAATGATGATGGTGGTGGTGGTGGCGGTGTGGTGGTATACGCAGTGGTGGTGATGGGTTAGGTGATGGTGATGGTGGTATATGGAGATGATGATGACGATAACGACGATGATGAGGAGGATAGGGAAGAAAGTTGATGATGGCGATAATGATGATGAGAGAGAAGCTGATGAAACGATGATGACGACGATGACACTGTACTCGCGTGACCTACTATAGCTCCTGAAATATTATCACCTCTTCACTGGATTCGTTTACGATTCTGCACCGTTGCAGTACACACTCTCCATTTTACCAGTGAGTATTCCAGTCATGCAGGTGTCTATTTTTCAGGCAATTTTAACAACTGGGTGGAGAGAAGCAACAAAATATAGATAAAATGCCTTGCTCAATTAGAACATAAGTGCCGTGCCGGGGTTTGAATACACCACAGCCTTCACGACTTTGGATTCTACGAGCAGCCATATTTGATCGTTATAATAATACATGAGAATTATATAGCGCCATTATCCATTTTAATAAAATACTCAAGGCGCTTCAAAATATTAGGGAACACATTACATCATGACTAAGAAGCGTGTACATTTACATAAGAAAGAAAATGCAAAAATGAAAGAATGAATAAATGTCTGTCTTCAAAACGCAAAATTAAACAAATGGGATTTAAGGTTGCTCTTAAAGCGTATCTGCCATAGTTTACAGGAGGGATTAGACTGCCCTGCAAGGTCACTGGACATGTGGTTATCTCATCAACTCAGCTCTCAGTTAACATAAGAAAAAGAGGATCATGGGGGACCAATGGTCACCGATTAGGCATTGTTTGTTATATAGAGGGCGCAAGTAGCTACAAGTAGTGCAGTGGGCCTTTAAAAGATGTTGAAGAGTCGGAGTTCTTCAGCTCCTTATGGTGACGTTCGATGTCAAGCTCCTTTTCTCGTCACATGTTCATATATCTGGTAACACAATCCATGATGGCAGGCCTCACCGAACCCCTGAAACATGTTCCGCACGGCCTGGCGGAATTTGGGATTCATCGCTGCGTAGATGATGATATTGGATATCGAGGTGATGAAGCCAAGAAGAAGAAGGTTGCGGTGTGTCTCTTCGAAAATGTAGGACCTGTCAATCACACCAAGGTTGCTGAAGAGATAGAACAGCTGATCGGGGGTCCAGCAGACGATGAAAACGACGATGATAGCGAAAAGGGTTGCAACCACCCGACGACGGACTCGGACGAGGCGCGTTCGTCGAGAACTTCGACACCAGGACGAACGAACTATGTGCTTGTTCCTTCGGAGTAGCTCCCTTATCGTCAGGATGTGACAGACCACCATCACTGTCGTAGGAAAACAATACCTACAGAAGAAGATGGCAATCCCTAAGACCACCTGAACGGTCTCCGAAGGAAACTTCACGATGCATTCTCCATCTTTTGCCGTGATTATGAGAAAGTGGTAGATGTTTATAACGATGCTGAAAGCCCAGATTGAGCCAATAATGGTTAATGTCTTCCTTGGAGTGAAGGCGCGATCGAAGGTGTATGGATGCACAACGGCAACAAAGCGCTCAATGGAGATCGTCATCAGCGTCAGTATGGACGCTACCGTAGAGAGTAACAAGAAGAAAGGTATATGAACAAAGGTACAGAAGATATATCCAGCAGAACTTTCGGGGACGGTCTTGACGGCATGCGCTATGGGAAGCGGGGTAACTGCGAGACATGTCATCAAGTCCGCCAAGGCCAGATTTGCTATCAAGGTATCAGTGGAAGAGCGTTTGTGTCTGGGGCGGAGGAGGACCATCAATACCAGTGCGTTACCAAGGATACCTAAGATCGCCAGCAGCAGGAGTACCCACCATCCGTTCCAGGGGATCGGGTCACTGTTCCAAATTTTCCCGTTAAAGTCAGGATCAAAGCGTGAAGCATTCGCAAAGTCAGATGAATCCACAACGTGTTCAAATGTGTTTAGCTCTGCTACTTCAGCAGCCATTGCCATTGTATAAAATCCGTCTTTAGATCAATTAAAACATGGTCACAAGCTACGTGACTACATGGAGACCGCAAATCAACGTGCATGTCCCAACAGATCGATGCCGAACCGTTATAGAGAATTTGATGTTTTCACAATGAAGAATCATGAGAATTGGAAGAAAACTGACAGCACAACCGTAAAGACAGATATATTGAATGCAAAATGATTGATATCTTGTACAGCTATGTATCTCTCAGTGTGATTTTTTTCAAACGTCAATACAAATGAAAAATGGGGAAGTTTGCTCGCTTAATCGAATCGAATCCATTTTCAGGGCCATGAAAACAATAAAGTCTAATAGATATATAGGCGTATGAATGGCAGGAAATGAAACTGTATTGTTTACATGCTAAGTGAAATTACTTGACAAACTACCACTTATTATTACCATCTTCTTCAAAGTTCTTATCTCATCAAACCTATAAACTATCGAAACCAAACAAACCAGAATGTTTCATAACTGTTACAGTGCAGGATGTAAGTAAGTTTTGATTTGATTTGGTAATAGATGCTAATTCAAAATTAAATTTAATTGATTTGATTTGAATTAATTTTATTTACCGAATATAAAACATGACTAATAACATATATACATGCAGGCCTACGCGATAACATGACATAGACAAATCACTTTGGAAGGATCGCCCTGCTCAACTGTGACATTACAACACATCTGTTCTGTTGAGAAGTCCTATTAGTCAGGCTAATCATGACAACAATCCGCGAATGGCATTTCTGGTAACAAAAAATGTAAGTTTCCCTGAATATTTCATTAATAAAAGCCACTCTGTCCGTCTACTTCATTGAGCAACGACCATTTATGTATTCATTGTCTTTTTATACTCTAAGTCAGGCGCGTACGCAGGATTTTTTCATGGGGGGGGGGGGGGGGGGGGGGTGGAGCGGGGAGGGGGGGGGGGTTTAACATTTTTAAATCGGATCGAAAATTTTGCATCGACTCAGCTAGCCGCTGAATAAGCAGGGGGGGGGGGGGGGTAAGAGGACACCTTTTTTTTTGAAAATTTGACATTTTGCTCCGTTGGGGGGGGGGGGGTAAGGTCAGCCATGGGAATAATTTTATTTTTATTTTATTATTATTATTTAAAAAAAAAAAAGAAAAAAAAGAAGAGAAAAAAACAAACCCAAAGGGGGGAGGGGGGGGGGTGTTTTTTTTAGGGGGGTTTATACACATAAAAATACCAAGGGGGGGGGGGGTTAACCCCCAAACACCCCCCTGCGTACGCGCCTGCTCTAAGTGCATTATGATTCTGAATTACCCTTAATTTTCTATGTAGCGTTTACATTATAGCAGAACATTTCAAAGGAGATAGTAATCATAGTAATAGAATTAATAAAAAGATGTCCGAAAAGGAAGAACAAATCAGTTACATAATACATACATAGAATGAAGAGGACGAATGAACCCACCTTTTGAACGCCCAGGTCAATTTCGCGTCCATCCCCAGCTCTGAGGGAAGGTTCTACCATGGACCTACTACAATTTTTGAGCGATCGACATTGAAATACCCCCTGGATCCGCCACTGGTGGATACCCCCCCCCCCCCACAATCTCCTCCTATTGGCCCATCGTGTCTCAGAAAATTGTTATCTTTTCTACTCTCCTCATTTTTAGATTGCATTCCTTTTTTCGAAATATTTCTTTACCTTTCATTTTGGTTGGTATTTTATTTGATTGTTGGTTCCGCCGGCTTAACTGCCAGAAGTCAAACTCAAAAAGCCTTATCGATTAAAACATAATTTCTTTCGCAAGGCACTTAAAAGATGAAGCATGCCATTGTGTGCGTGACCTAGTATTGGGAATGAGGACTGTCTGGTATACAAATCAATGGTTATCAAACAGTCTGCGTACTACAATTATCATGATTTTTGCTGAAAGCAGACAATGGCGTGTCTACGGTAGAGGAGGAGGGAGGGGGGGGGGGGCATTTGCGCACATTCATCATGGTAATGTGCAATCAAATAGCAAACAGGAGGGTGGCAAGGTTATTCTTTTGTGAGAGTTATTCAAAATCGACGCTCTAGACAAAACACTGGCACTTTAACGCTGACACTCCACCAGGTTTGGCATTGAGCGCTTTTTACTTTCTGAAAAGATTATCTCAACAAAAAATGTTCATAAATGTCTAAGAAAAAACCCAACCTTTTAAAGATTTACGCAACATTAGGTTATACGAATGAACTTGTGATTTAGGTTGGCATTTCAATATTTATATATTTTATTCAGACTATTATCTTGGATGAATGGATAGCAGACTACTAGAGTTATTCGTAAATTGATGCTTTGCACACAAGGGTTGTGAAACTACTTTAACGGTAATATCTGACATGAACACTATTAATTAGAAATACAGCTAAATCGTCACCATTGTAATGGTCTAAGCAAATTAAAAAAAAAAACCTCTTTAAAGGTGCTAGATATTGACAGGATATTAAAGCCATACTGTACTACTAGAAGCACTACTGCAAACACCCTCTAGCACCATCTCCGGTCTACTGTAGCATCATGGTCCACTGCAGGCGCGGATCCAGGATTTCTTAGGGGTGGGGGCCCAAATTTGAAATCAATTTGAAATTTAGTGTGCTGAAATTTGAAAATCGTGCCGGCCAATATTTCGCTCAGGCGGAAGGGGGGGGGGTGGTGGTAGTGAGCACTAATTTATTTTGTTTGGCCCTCAGAAGCTCAGGGGTTTTATACATCAAATTATCGTCGGATGAGCATAATTTTATACCTTATTTGTGACACTGGCAGGTCACGAATTGGCGTGGGGTCCAGGGGGCAGAGTTCCCGGAAGATCAGGGGTTTTGGGCAATAAATAACGGTAAGATGAGCATATTTTAATACCGTATTTGTGACAATGGCAGGACACAAATTGGTGTTCGGTCCAGGGGGCGGAGCCCCCAGAAGCTCAGGGGTTTTGTACATTGAATTATCGTCAGATGAGCATATGTTATACTTTATTTGTGACACTGGCAGGTCACGATTGGCGTGGGGTCCAGGGGCGGAGCCCCCGGAAGCTCAGGGGTTTGGGCCAATAAATAACGGTCAGATGAGCATCTTTTTATACCTTATTTGTGACACTGGCAGGACACAAATTAGTGTTGGGTCCAGAGGGCGGAGCCCCCAGAAGCTCAGGGGTTTTTATACATTAAATTATCGTCAGATCTGCATATTTTATACCTTATTTGTGCCACTGGCAGGTCACGAATTGGCGTGGGGTCCAGAGGGCGGAGCCCCGGAGGCTCAGGGTTTTTACGAATTTTAAAGTTGGCTTTTCATATATGGCATGCGTTATCTTCTAGCATATCAAACAAATAGGTTGAATTTGAGTTCTCTTCCCAGACCAAAATATAAACGATTGTTAACCTTTTTAAAGACCCTACCAAACAGTTTCTCTTTAATATCATTATTAGAAGGGAATTGATAAGTTATACATTTATTTACTTAAATCCCGTCTGCACTAGTTTGGCTAGGAGGATTAGACCTCCCTGCAAGATCACTTACAGGTGGTTATCCCATCAAATCAGCTCTCAATTAACATAAGAAAAAGGGGATCATGGGGGACCAACAGGCACCGATAAGGCATTATTTGCTATATGGAGGGCGCAAGTAGCTATAGGTAGTGCAGTGGGGCTTTAAAACTGTTTATTGATAAGAATTATGCATGGCCAGAGGGCCGGAAAGTAGATTTTATTTCAATCATGATAGATTGAGTGAATACATTGAAAAATGATTAAATAGATATGAAAATATTAAAATCACGATAGCAAAATAACATGTTACAAAAAAATGCAGGAATCCCGTGGTTTGAAAATACAAGGATAACAATATTTTAAAACAGATTAAATTCACCGCACTGAGATTAAAGAAAAACTGGAGATAGAGAAAAAAGGGGAGAGTCAGAGAAGGAGAGGGAGAGAGAGAGAGAGAGAGAGAGAGGGGGGGGGGTGGAAAGGAGAATACTTGTAATAGGTAGAAGGATAAGGAAAAACAATGGGGAAAAGAAGAGGCAAGGCAGAAAAAAGAGCGAAAATAAGGAAAGGGGAAAGAGTGGAGAGAGTAATAGGAGAGACACTTAGGGCAAAAGCAGAGCTAGGTATAAATAAATTGACTTGTTGAGAGAGGAAAGAGAGCGTGAACCAAATGTTCAATTTTATTTAATTTCATGTAATGTTGAGAAACTTTGTGAGCCGCCTTACACAGTACAGCAGTATTGACATGTTATTTACATGCTCAGCTTCCAACCCCTCTCACTTTCACACTTCATATGGCCCCTTAATCACTTCAATTTTAATGTACAAGGAACACTATCATGATTTACTTCCTAAAGGCTAGTTGATACTTTAAACTTTAAAGCACAAGTCCCCCATCCCTTTCCATTCAAACATCCGCACACATGTACACAGTACGCACGCCATTTTTCAATAAACAAACGCTAGCACATGTTTACTCTATCACCTTCATGTATTTACATACAACAACAAAAACAACAACAAAGCAAACATACAAACAAACAAACAAAGATGAGGAAAAAAAAAAGAGAAGTAGGGGAACTACATGTATGACAAACTGTTACATGCAATCCTGAAATGAAATGTAATAGACTTGATATTATTGTTATCATTAAGTTCCCTCCTTATCCTTTCCAAAACATTTCAAGTTCACAATACCAATAAATAACTATGTAAATGAGGTCAAGTGTAAAACATAGCAAAATCATGGCAATTATTCAGTGCATATTTCTACCAAGAGTAATAAATTACGATTACTTGTTACGTAATTAAGCCCCATAACCCGAGAAATAGCTCACACATGCAGAAAACACATTACAAACGTACTTACACATTATAACATAAATCTGTTAGAATAATATTTCCAGCAAGATTCATGAATCTATTTTCTTTGTATTTCCCATCGATGGTGCTTTACCATATCCGAAAGACAGATCGGTGGGTAATTGAATATCAAATGTATGGCGGAAAAAAGCTATTTCGTTTGCAGAGTAGAAGTAAATAGTTTTCCTTGGAAGTTACATCTTTGCTCCTTGACTAGACATATCCTCATTATTTCTGCTGAAATATCACATGTCTTTCCCAACTTTTTTAGCCCCTGTTCTGTCAAATAATTATTCTCCTTCAGTGTCTTCACCACTTCCTGTAAAGACACAACCTTTTTCTTTAGTCTCTGTTAAATTGGCCTGAGATGTCTTGGGTCTTCTCTTCATGATGGACAGCTGATCATATACCTTTTCTTGTTTCCGCTTCACGCTCTTTTGGCTTTTCTTGGATGGAGTTTGTGTGATCATGTCGTGCGTAAAATCTATTTCGAAGAGTTTTGGGGAAC